GCCTCAACCTGGGGCCGGGTTTCTACCAGTACTTGGAGGTTCATGGGTAGTTATAACCGGAGTTATCAGTTTCCTAATCTGGGTTATAAGTATTATAGTTAGTTACCTTGCTTATAACCGCACTTATAACTAACGCTTGAACCTCCGAGTATCACAGGGTTGAAAACTTGTCTAGCTCCTGGAGCAACATGGTAGGAGCTTAGGGGATTTGGAGCTCATGGTGTTTCCGGCTTATAAGTATTAAGGTTTAAGTAGGGGCTTTTGTGCGAAAGACATGAACAGTGGGGGCTGTACTAGTATAACAACATAAGTATAGAGTTCGCGGAAACACCAACCTCACATGTAGAGCCGCTGCGGACGGCAGCCAACAGCTCATTCGCTTGCGTCTCGGATGCCGCCGGATATGCGAGAAGAACCAGCTCGAGGTCCATGGGTGAGTCAACTTTGATAAAGTCATCCTGGGTTCTTGCGCAGGATCTGAATTTAAGTTAACATACTGCAACCGGGTTTGCTTCGTAAATATGATGTTTCCTTGTTGTGGTGACCTAAACTGGCTCCTGAACAAGAGCCCAGCATCTAGAGGATTTCCGCGGAAGAGCAGTCTTTGCCTGAATCGTGTAGGCAACCCGTGCGCTGAATGCAGTTGCTGCTTCAATGCCTTCACATCGCAGTCGGAAGCAACCAACTCAACCACGGGTATGCTTGCCACCTCTTGCCCTGACATCATCCTGATACGCAGCATTGCGATGGGCAAAGGGTAACGAATGGCACAAGGTGCTTGGCAGCCAGCCGATACCTACTTCAACTACGCGATGGTGAATAACAACTACATGCGAAGCACTTTGTCTCCGCTGAGAGAGCCCATAAGCAGCAGCAGTGCAAGCTTTTGATGGCAATTGATTTCGGCACAAGCATTCTTAAACACGGAAAGCTCGGAAACTTATTTGGACTGCATGCATCCACTGAGCATTCGTCTCACACAAGTTGGCCTGACTGTTGCAGACCTGTACATAAAGAGTCAAAGCTGCAGACACAAAGAACTCCGCAGATATTATCTGGTTGCAGCCTACCTCGGTGGAACATGACAAGTGCCAGTGAAAAAAACAGGTCAGCAAGCACATGTCATGATGATGGGCATCGTGCATGCCACCGGTGATGACATGCCGACACTGACCCTGGCTTTCGAACTTCTGAATATTGCCGAACACTCGCACAGAGAAGCATTGTGCTTTCATTCTGTCGACGGGGCTCGCCCTACAACACTATGGCCGTTGCCATCATATTTGCTACAGCAAAAGTACAGTAGGTACAGCCATGATGATGAGCATGGTCTGCATGATGGTCATGACCACTGTCATCATAACAAATTTTAAAAACAAAGTGATTCTAGCATGAACCTGCATGAACAGCAGGAATGACACACTCATCACAGCAACGATGCAGATTAGCCTTAACATGATGCTCTTTATGATGAGGTCGTGGTGGGTACTCATGCAAGAACTTGCTAATTTGCTAATTCTGGTACTGGAGGAAGTGAAGCTGGGGGAAGTGAAGCTGACAGCCACCATCATAACCTTAAGCCCTAAACCCTATACCCTCTTCTGCATTAGAATCGGAATACCTTTTGCCCTAAGCCCCAAACTCTACACCCTAAACCCTAAACTCTCAACCTTGAACTCTAAACCCTAAACCCTAACCTAAGCCCTCAACCCTTTGCAAAAGCTCCTTGAGGAGGGATTCCCAGCTGTCCGGGCTGGCGATGAGCACATTGCTCAAGCACCTGCAGACTGGCTTCCCCTACTTGGGAATCATGGGACTTAGTAAGTAAGGTGAGGGTTTAGGGTTTAGGGTCCCTTTAAAAGGGATCTATAAGGGTTCCTATAATGGGATCTATCAGGGTTTAGGGTCTACTTGGAGGATCATGGAACCTAGTAAGTAAGGTTATAAGTACCTTAGTTGCGGTTATAAGTAGTTACATATAAGTATAGTTACCCTACTTATAACCCTCGTACTAAGTCCCATGATCCTTTAAGTAAGGGTAAGTAAGGTCATACGTACCTGAGTTGGATTAAAAGTATTTATACATGTACCTACCTTATTTATAACCCTATGAAACCCTAGTTGCTTCGGAAATTGTAGAACTCCTACTATAGGAGCCTCAATAATTACCTATACTATTTTGGGGCTCCTGGTTATACTTATGATATACTTGGCCCCAATTCCCTATTCTCAATTATTTAGGCTCCATTCTTCCGTTCCTGCATAAACCCGACTAGAATGAGGGATCCTGTGTTTCAAGACCATGAAAAAATCTGAAAGACTGGTCTTTCAGAAACCTCAGAGTGTTTGGCGCCCCTAGACCCTAGACCCTAACTCGGGGCTCCCATCTTCCCGATAGGATCCGTTTCTTGTGGGCCTGGGCTAATGTAGGAACCTGATTAAGAAACCTTGGGCCTTTATTCGGGTTCCTCCTACTGTTTTGCTGTTATAGGACCAGGGTTGCTTAATCAGGTTCCTACATTACCCCTAAGGGTGGATGGGTACATTGGGGCCAATGTATATACTACTTGGGTACATGGGCCCTTAGAGGTTATACTTTGGAGAGCTTCAGTTCTGCAAGGGTTTAGGACGTGGGGCCTCGGGCTTAAGGTTTAGGGTTTAAGGTTTAGGGTTTAAGTTTAGGGCTTCGGGCCTAAGGTTTCTATGCTCCAGGGTTACGGAGGCTTTTTACAAGGATGTTGGGTTTCGGAAGGTTCACAAAGGTCTTGCATATGGACATGCATGCAAGATTTCTGGGGTTGGAGGTGGTCGCTTTGGGGCGCGTGCTGTCTTGGCAACGATGAAACCATCACTGTGGACATTTATTTCTCAGAACATTCGGGCGAGGTGACGAAAGGGCAAATTTGTGCATTGTGCAACAGTTACACACTTGCCGCAGCAAGGACACATCGCGCCTCTGGTATATTATATATGGTCTAAGGAGTATCATCGTTGTAACTGTTCATGCTTCTGTAATTCGATATTCCACCGGTATCCCAAAACCGAAGCTACAGAGCTCATGCCTGGTCAGCTCGCCCAGGAGCTCCTGATACAAATGTGTGGGAATCAAGATCTGGGCGTGTTATTTTCTGAACCTTAAGTTTGGGGTTTGGGATATGGATATATGCATGTGTATGTATACATGTATATACATATACATATATATATATGTATATGCTAACAGGGGTCTCATTAGGGTGTAGGAACACCTGCAGATAGAAGTGTCGACCCGAACCGCTGAAACCTGGAGCCCGAATTCCAAAACTATTAGGCACCCTGATCCTTGTATGGGTGGTTCTCTAAGGTCCTCAAATTAGGACGGCACCCCCATGAAAAAGGAAACTAAAAGGGACCCCCGATTAGACAACTACCAGTTTTCGGATCTTGTGAGGAAAGCAGGCACGCATGCTACACCGTAAACCTTAGTCACTAAGCCCTGGGCCCAAACTTACAAAAGCCTTAGTACTAAGTTGCTGAACCCTTACGAACCCTTAGTTGCTAACCCCGAACCCTATAAGCCCTCAGTTACTAAACAGAAATCCTAAAGTCAAAGGTGCTAACTCTAAATCCCAAATACGCAGCACTAAACCCGAAATGACGAAATCCCAAGCCCACCCTGCCAAGAGAGCTCCTTCCCCTCCGTCTTGCTGGTTCCAGCTTTTCTGCCTTGCCGACACGAAAAGGCAAAGGCTGCAGATCTCTGGGCCAGAAGGTCTAGGGTGTTCCGTTAAAGGCTCCGACAAACGGTCCTTTGTGGGTTTCTACAGGGGTTTGGGGTTTAGGTGGGGTTCCCATCAAGGGCTCTTTCCTGCAAAGGTTGTCAGAGGGTTTGAGAGTATGAGTTGTGTGGCTTGAGATTTAAGGCTCAAGCTTGTGCTGAATCATCAAAGCTTATAGTGCACGGCAGTCGACCAAGCCATGTTTTTAGACTGATGCTGATGCGAATGCTAGTTCCAAATCTCAAACTTGGTCCATGGCAATGGCATCTTTGGTTTCTCCAGATTAATTACGCTCAAACTCACTCATAGTCACTGTCCTAAATATACCATCTCGTGTGTTCGAAGGCCACTTGTCTTGTTGCTGTGGAACCCCAAAGACTGTGCAATGCCCTTTTTCCACGCGGGAGCAGCAGCAGCTGAATAGCCACAGGCAGGATCGTCAGACCACGTGGAGTGGTGCTCGCTACCTGAAGCCACGTTCGGAGCCTCACTGGGCAAAATCTGACCGGCCCGGCGCAGGTTCAGGGCGGCTTGCCGTAGAAATCCCAAAAGTTGGAAACCCATTTGTCCTTAACCAGGTTTCCAGATGTTTGGAGTGTACTATGAAACGAAAAAATTTCAAGGCTCAAGGACACGTCTCAACCCAAGTCACTTAGGGATTACCCGGAGGAACATGGGACATGGCTATAGGTAACTGGCTGGGGTCATATTTATGTTCGTATGTACATATATGTATATACAAGTGTAGTTTCCGGGATTGAAGTCTAGGACCCTAAACTCCTAAACCATAAACCCTGCTTCATCGTTTGACAGATGACGGGCTCTACTATATGGATTGAGCACTTGAACTTCCCATTGCAGTCGTACTTAACCGCACTATAAAATTCAAGCCAACACTAAAACACAAAGCCACCACTTTCCTAACGACCTCATGAAAGCCGTAATTAAAGTGCAACCATGCAAGAGCCTGTCTGTGATTGACCATGAGTCTGATAACCTTCAACCCTAAACCCCTAAACCCTGATAACCTTCAACCCTACACCCTAAACAGCTAAACCCGGATAATCTTCAACCCTACACCCTAGAACCGGATAACCTGCAACCCTAACCCATAAAACCTTCAACTAGACCCTGACAGAACCGGTCCGGAGAAAAGCGAAACTGGGAGGGAAGCTGGCTCCCTCCTGCAAAACTTTGGGGAAATTGGAGGGGCACGTGCCCAGGGTGACGAGAGCCAAGCTCTCAGATGGTGTAGTCCGGCTTGGCAGGGTAGGTGCAGCCTCCACTGTTGAGGGATAGGAAACACGTGCGTGGTTAACAGTTCAGGCTTAGGTTACCTCTAATATAGGGGCCTCAAAAATTAATTTAGGCTTCCATATTATAGTACCCTTATAGATCCCTTATAGTATCCCTTGTAGACCCCCTTAAAGGAACCCTAAGGAATAATATTATTGGTAATCATTGAGCCATCTATATAAACCAGCAGTTTGCTAGCAAGATAGGCATTGACTGCCTGGGGCTTCCGTGCCTTGGTTCAGACTACGTCAAACTTACAGCGAAAGGTACAAAACATACGGTTTAAGGTTTAGGGTTTAGGGGTTTAAGGGTTCAGAGGTTTAGAGTTTAGGGGGGGGATTAGTCTTGCATGCTTTGCTGTTTCGGAATCAGACATAACTGACATAGCCTAATCCCAAACCCCTAGCCCGAAACGGTACCTGAAACCTCGCGGTTAAGGCCTTAGGTCTCTCTCGGGAGCGGATATCTACAAGCCTTTGCAGATGCTCTCTCTCTGAGCCTGATCCCAAACCCCTGAAATCCTACAACACCTCAAATACGTGGGGACCAGAAGGGACTGTTGGCACTCAATATTCAGACCCCTACACCCTAAACCCTAAACCCACCCCTAAACCCTAAACCCTGAACCGTGGGCCTTACATGAAACCGAAAACCTGACGCCCTCAGCCTCGCTCCCCGAAACCTGCACCCAAAGCCCAAAAGAACCCGATAAGAGCGGTTTAGGGTTTAGGGTTTAGGGGTCTAGAGTTTAGTGTTTAGGGGTTTAGAGTAAAGGGTTTAGGGTTACTCAGAAGAGCCTCAGAGCCCCCAGGTCTTGAATCCAAAATAAACATTTGTAGTAGCAAACGAAATGCCCGAATAACAACGCACAGCCAACGCAGTGAATGCCCACCAGAACCTAACGAAAAAAAATCTAATCTCCGTAATCTCCTAAAGCCCCAAAACCTGAAAAAAATGACACTGAATCTTGAACCCTAAACCCTAAACCGCATGCCAACCCCCCGACGCCTACAAGCCAAAAAGCCGGTCATGTGAAAAAATCCATAGATGCCAGAAAGAAGCCTTTACTTTGAGGATCACAGGACTCGGCAAGTAAGGTTACAAGTATCTCACCTGTGGTTATATGCAACTATCCTTTTAGGTTACCTTGTTTACAACCCTAGTTGCTAAGTCCCATGATCCTTTCAGTATATTGTGGTTTTCAACATTAGGGTCCCTTTTGGGTCCTTCAGATAATACGGCACCTACTATTTAGGGTACCCAAAAAGGGACCATAATTTTTGACAACTACCCATTCAGTGCTGCACGGTTTTATGGTTTAGTTTTTGGGGTTTAGGAACTAGGGGTTTAGAATTCAGGCTTGAGTGTTTAGGGCTTAGAGTCGAGCTCTTAGGGTTTAGGGTTTAGGGATTTAGGGCTTAGAATTGAGTTCTTAGGGTTTAAAGTTTAGCTTTGTTTGGTGCCCCTTTCCGCGCCCAACTGCTTCCCTCCTGAGTGCTGGATCACCACCGAGGCGGAGTACGATCCGGCTTTGCAGCAGGCCTCTCAGGGTTGAATGTTTAGAGCTCAGGGTTTAGGTTTAGGTTTGGGATTAGGGTTTATCGGGTTTAGGGTTTAGGGCTTCGGGATCAGGGTTTAGGGCTTAGGGTTGAGATTGCATTTCGGGATCCCGTCTACGGCACCATACTATTGTTTTTAGGGTTTTGGCTTGTGCCGAGACTCTAAGGGTGTCTGTAATGGTTGAGGGTCCTACTTGTTGCTGCATGGTCTTTGAGGATTCACGGAAGGTTCCTTTGGGTCTCCTCTACAGGGTCTCCTCTACAGGTGCGGCGGGGACCGAAACGGTTGATGACATAAATCCTGCATTACCCAAAATAAGGAACATACCATAATTCCCATAGTTTAGGGACCTTAAGGTCATGCAGGATTTATATCATCAACCGTAGTATTGGTTTTTGAGTTGAGGGATTTGGGCTTCAAGCGTTGAGGGGTTTTCAGGCTTCAGGGTTTAGGGGTCGGGGGTTTCAAGGTTGAAGTCCGAAGGCTTTTAGTAGGGCCCCAAAACAGCACATAAGCAAACATTAGGATAGGGATCTCCCATATAAACCCCACTTATAAGGAAGCCCATTAAGGTAGGGATATCCCTATAAAATGCTTATGCTTATGTGCCTTGTTGGGTCCCTATTTAGGGTTTAGGGCTTCAGGGTTCAAGATTCCAGGGTTTAGGGTTCGGCGCTGACAGCATAAGAGTTCGTGCTTGAGGTTCAGGAGCGTGTTCTAACAAAGCTCCATTGCTTCTACAGATCTTCTGTGCAACTTTTACTTAAAGAATCATGGGACATAGTAACTACTGTTGTAAACAAGGTAACTACTTAAAACCACTTATAACTCCAACTACGGCACTTACAGCCTTACTTACCAAGTCCCACGAGCCTCCAAACGGGGTCGACAGGGTCTGTCGGTTGCCGGATGGGTTTCGGAATTTCAATTCATGCGTGTAGGGTATATAGGGCTTAGGGTGTGGGATGCCAGAATTATGTGGAGAGGCCCTGCAAGGTTTGGGATTTCGGATATTGGGCATAGCCTACACTTGGAACAAGCTCTTAGCCCGGTTTGGAATGTAGGTAGGCTTTAAACACCGGGGTTTATTGGGGATTTTATGTAGCGTTGAGGGTAGTTAGGGTTTAACCCTGCACCCTGAAAGCATCCCCCTCTTCCGGGTGGATTCTCGTGCCGCGGATTCCAAGTTAAGCTGGCCGCTTATGAAGGTCTAAACGTCCCCCTCCTGCTCCTACAAAACTCTATATGCGACAAACCCCAAGAACACCTCATAGAATCTCTGGGACCCTGAAAAATCTTCGTAAAACAACCCTACACCCTACACCTGTGCCTCGATGTCCTTGCCCTTGGCCAGGGCCGCCAGGAAGCCGCCGACGAAGGCATCACCGGCGCCGTTGGTGTCCACCAGCTTCTCCTTTAACGGGGTCTTTAAGGTTCCTTTGGGTTCAATATTATAATAATGTCCACCAGCTTCTCCTGTGCATTCCGGGATCCAGTTTCGGTGTTGATGGATTTAGGGGTGTTTGCACCAGGGCAGTTCCCTACAAATTAGAGTGCCTTGCTCACAAAGAGACCCTGGCCGGAACCTCCAGGACTCAGGCAAGAAAAAGAAAGCTGCACTCAGCATTTAAGTCCTAACGCCTCAGGTTCAGCACGCATCCTCAACAGGGGACACGGAGGCCCTGGGCTGCAGGCTGTAGTATCTATGGTATCCGGGGCTTGGGTCGGTCGTGGAAGGGCTCACATGACGCTGCATGATGCAAGGCAAACTTTCACGGCTTAGGGTCTTGGGTTTATGGTTTAGCCTAAACCCTAAAGCCTAAACCCCCGAACCCTAAACCGTTTAGACTTAGGGCCTTAGGGTCCCCGACTTGCCTAGCAGGTGCAAGGTAGCACATGCCAGGCAGAGTATAGCACTTGGGACCTAAGGCTAGAGAACCCTTGTGGAAACCTTTCAGAACCTAAACCCTACACATTGATAGACCCTTTACTTGAAGCCTCTAGATAAACCTCGCATGCCACTGCAGTCCTTGGGCAGCGCGATCACGGGGTACTTGGTCACCTCTGCGGCCACATGCTAGGATCCCGGTTACCCATAAACATGGGGATGCAAGGACCGTATTGATGGGAGGCCAAAAGGGGGGTTTAAGATTCTTGGAGTAGGGATTCCTTAATATGAACCCTATTATGGGAACCCCTAATCCCTACCAAACCCCCATAGGCTAAAACCCCTATTGGCCTCCTATGATGTATGAAGGTCCTACAAGGGCTATACACGGGTATTGTCCCGGCTTGTAAAGTGTTTAACCCTTGACAAACCCTCTAGCACCCATAACCCAATAACTTATTCAGACGCGCAGGAAAACGGGCTTTACTGTTCATATCGCAATTACTCTTACTATGGCAAGGTTTCGAAGTAGTGGCGCTAAAAGACGAGGAATGTGGTTGTCATTGTCATAACAATAGTTATTACCATCCAACCGTCAGAAATGAGACCATAACAGCTGTTGAATCTGCTGCTCCTCCCGCAATGTCGCGACTGCATGCCATGCACCAGGAAAATCTAAGGTTCGCTCTTGCATAAGATCAGAAACGGAGGGAGATGGGATCTGAAGCGATTCCAAACTCCCCTAGTCAAGCAATGCACCAGTAATTGACAGGATGAATCCTGCATGTGCTTTAAGGCAAATTTCTTGATTAACAAGCCTTCGAAAATCCTTACAAGCCCCTTACAAGACCTGTGAAGATCTAATGAACGCCCTTTGTAGAACGCTCTGATTCGAGGGTTTTTGAGTCTTCGGGTCTGGGATTGCCGACAGGAAGCAGGACGAGTTTGTTACGTGCTGTAGGACCCTAAGCGCACGTAATCCATCACTAAGGTAGCCCAGATTCAGTCAGTTTTATTGGCTACTGATGCTTCTACATTGGGGATATCAAATTTAAATCCCGTCCTCATGGATCCCAACAAGGTAAAGACCTCCCTGTGAAATGCTTGTGAGGACATCCTTTGGGGGCCTTAGTCCTGAACTCCAAATGACGGCCTGTCCACGGATGGCCACAATGGTCGGGTCGGCTCCCTGAGTGATGACGACCTTCCTGTATGGCTTGCTGCCTGCACGGCCAGTGGCACCGAAGGGGCGTCGGGTTTGGATTCTTCCCTCTTTTTCAACAACCGGGCCCCAAACAGTTCAAACTTTCAAAGATAGAGCAGCTATATATGGCCAAAAGTTTAAAGTTCCCCCGTTCACTAAGGATTGCAGGGTTGAGGGTTGAAGGTTTACAGGCTGAGGGTTGCAAAAACTATCGCAGAGCTCTTTCCCATCAGAACCCGACAAGTCTCCGATGAGGATCCTAAACCCTGAACCCTATACCCTAAACCCCAAAACCCTGAACCTGAAGCCACTAAACCCTAAACCCTAAACCTAAACCCTAAACCCCTGAACCCTAAACCCCTAAACCTCCAAACCCTAAACCCCTAAACCCCTAAACCCTGATCCACCTGCCATGGGCACAAGCGACAGGCGCGTCGCGATGAACTCAACATCCTGCAGCACGTCGAGATTCATGGGTAGTCATACGTGGAGTTGTAAGGTTTTAAGTGGGGTTCCTCTGAGGGATCTATAGGGTTTAGGGTAGTTTGTAAGAGCAGCTACAAGTCCCCGAATATGGGCTATATTTTCAGTTGCCTTATTACTTAGAACTCCACTGATAACTAGCCATGAACCTGCAAGCATGGTTTGCAACTAGCTCAAGGCTCGTCGCTATGTTGTTGTCGCAATTTCTGTTGTAGGCGCTACTGTTATTCTGGCTAGGTACAAGGTGCTTGCGTGATCTATTGTTTGGTGGTGGTGACTGTGATTTCAGGGATGCTAACTTATGTTTAGGAACCCAGCGGAATGCTAGTTCTAAGTACTCAGAGCCCCCGTACTGCCCTGAAACCTAGGAGCCTCATTCTCAAACCCTTGCCGAAGCCCTTAAAGGCAACCACAAAACGCTACCTCAAGCACTACAGAGCTCATCAGGTGCGAAGTTCAATCAGCAAGTGAACAGTTGAAGAATTCGACATAAGTAGGGCAGGATTTGGGGTTGAGTTTGGATTTAGGGGTTTAGGGTTTAGGGTGTCTGGCATATTATAGTTATAGTTCTAATAGTTCTAAGAAGGAGCCCCATAAGGCTGCATTAAGGACGACTAGGAATTAGGAAGTCCTCGGTAGAACCCCTATACTACAGTTTAGGGTTTAGGGGTTTAGGGGTTTCGGGTTTAGGGTTTATATAGGGTTTAGGGTTTAGCGGTTTCGGGTTTAGGTAGTATGTCCTGGGGAGGAGGATCCCAAGTTCAGAACAAGAAGACGAAAAAAGGCGTACGACTGACGAAGTTTAAGGTTTAGGGTTTAGGGTTTAGGGTTTGAACCCCAAAACCCAAAAACGCACAACAGCAACATCCAAAACACTGAACCCTCAACTACGAAACTCGAGACGCTAAACCATAATTCATCCCAATAGCGCAGCCTGAAAAATGGCCACTGTCATTAAGCCCCAAGCCCTATTCTGCTTATCAAGGTCTTTATATGACACCCCAAGGCCTGAACTCGTTAACCCCTCTGAACTGCTAAACTCCTAAACCCCAAAACCCTAAAACCCTGAAGCCTAAACCCCTCAAGCCCCTAAACCCCAAGCCCTACATAAAGCCTAAACACCTAAACCGTAAAGCCCCCTGGAACCCTAAACCCTATAATCCCTAAAGCCTCAACCTTCAGCCCCTCGTATAGATCCCTCTAAAAAAGCCCTAAACCCTAATCCCTAAAGCCCCAACCCTTAGCCCGGCTTCTTGCGCGCCTCGGTGTCCCAGCCCACTGCCTCGGCATAGGCTCGCGCCTCCGTCTCGTTGCCGAAGAGATAATCGCCTGAATGGTGTCTCTTTAGGGTTCGTTTAACAGGGATCTGTAAGGATTCCTATAATGGGATTTATAAGGGTTTAGGGTCTTACTTGGAGGATCATGGGACTTAGTTTAGGGCTTAGGGATCCTTAAAAAGGGGTCCTTGAAGGGCTCCTTATAGGGATCTAGAGGGTTTGGGGTTTAGGGTCTACTTGGAGGATCATGGGACTTAGTGTAAGGTGAGCCAAAGGGTTTAGGGTTCCTGGAAAAGGGATCTACAAGGGTTCCGATAGTGGGATCTATAAGGGTTTAAGGTCTACTTGGAAGATCATGGGACTTAGCAAGTGAGGTTATAAGTACCTTAATTGGGGTTATGAGTAGTTATAAGTCTAGTTACCCTAATTATAACCCTAGTTACTAAGTCCCATGATCCAGGAAGTGGGGTACAGGATTTTCGTGAATGTTTAGGTTTAGGGCTGAGAGGTGTAGGGAGTCTGGAGCCCTCAACCCAAAAACCCTAAAACCCCTAAACCGTAAGGTTTATGGTTTAGGTTGGGGTTGTTGGGATCCCCGGTTTTGGGGTTGCGAGGTTCTCATGAGGTTCGGAAGCGTTCGACGTCTTCGGCTGAGCGCACATAGAGCTTCATTCAAATGCGGGTGATGCGATTCTAATACGCTAAGGCTGCCAGGACCCTAAACCCTAAAGTCTAGTTGGAGGATCGTGGGACTCATTAAGTCAGGTTATGCCGCTCTTCATTGAGGTGAGAAGTTGTTGTAAGAAAAGCAACCTCATTTATAACCCCAGTTACTAACCCAGAGGGTCCATATACTCTACCATGATGGAATTAGGTCCTAGAAAACCATCCCTATTATGCTTTTGGGGACCTAATTCCATAGTGGTAGTGTATGTCAGCTACCAAGGTCCCATGATCTTCGAAGTAAACCCTAAACCCTAAACCCCTAAACCCTAAACCCCTAAACCCTCAACCCCAAATCCCTAAACCCCTAAAACCCTAACCCCTAAACCCCTTCAGGAAGCCCTGTGAGCAGAAGTCCTGGGAAAAAAACATGTCGGAAAGGGATACGGTTGTGGGTCGTTTGGGGTTTTAAGGGCTTAGGGTTTTTTTTTTAAAGTTGAACTGCACCCTTTCTCCGAAAGTAGCGCTGGCATTTTGCCCTCAACTGGGTGGGACATCATCCTCCATACTTTGTAGTCCTCAAAGATTCACCACCCATGGAAGTTGAAACACCCCCGACATCAGGAACAGTGCCCACATCGCCATTTCCAGACGAACATGCCGAAGCACTCGAGGATGTAAGACACACAGTGGCAACACCAGTAGCATCAGGCTCACGACCACGACTCCGGGAACGATCACGAGCAGGACCAGATACCACACGAGCAGGTACAACGCCTTGAAGATGTAGTGGAAGCACCATCGGATCCACCCACGCTGACTCAATTCCTGTCTCCAGAAGGTCATGCACCATCTGACTTGTCGTTGCCACCAGTTCCTCACTCATGGCCACCAGGTATTCACGTTCACGTTCGGAAGGCAGACGACGCACCGGCTCAGCACGACTTTCGAGAAAACTGCACACCCCCTGTAGCGCCGTCACAATGTCCTGCATGATCTGCACAAGAACTCCAACATACCAAGCCACATCGTCCACACCGCCAGACTGGGCTCGACAAGCATGCAGGCGTTCAAGAAGACCACGCAAGGCTCCGCGGCAACGAACATCCACACCCATGTCATCCAACTGTGCATCTTCAACAACATTGAGGGGTTGCATGAAGGAACTCACATCCCCAGCTCGTGCATCATTTGGCGCATCAAGACCAGGATCAGGATCACCTGGCTCACCCACGGCTCCACGAGGACTTCGAGATCGGCTGCGAGCATCCTCGGCATCAGAATCGGCAGGAACAGCCCGAAGATGTCGAGGAAGTCGTTCAGGATCCAACCAGGCCTCCGCCACGAAGTTGTGCAGCGACAGGAGGTACGCCCTCGCCAGTGCCACACACAGGTCATGTCCAACCTGCACAGCTTCACCACGTTGTTCTTCATCAGGTAGAGCAAGACACCCGGAGGGAGGTCGAACAAGGCGTCGGATGAGTTCTCCATTGATCTCATCCTGAACATCCACACTTCGCTGGATCGCTCGGTCCACAACATGCAAGCACCACTGCACATTAGCAGGACGAAGGGCCCCTTCACCATCAGCACTATTCGCGAGATTGTCAAGAAATTGTCCAAGCGTGGTGACCGTTGTGCGACGAACACCCAGGGTCAGCAGACGATTAGCCTCCGCAGGTTGTAAACGTTGCATCATCGAGACAGCATCAGCAGCGTCACGGTCACCAGGCAGAGGAGCAGCATCGTCAGGCCCAGCAGGATTTCCACCCACCAAATCATCAGAAGGTCCTTCAGAAACGACATGAACAGGAGGTCCAGCAGGAAGAACACCCACGTTTTGTCCAGCTTCAGCAGGAGGAACAGGAGCACCACCGGCTACAGGAGCAGTCTCAGCAGGTCGACTATCTTCGCCAGTATGCAGACTCGTAGGACTGGCACACGCGGGAGTGGACCTGTCTTCATCCGAACTAGAGCGTGAAGTCACGAAACACTCATCCATCCCCAAAACTTTCAGCCACCTCACCGTGTCTATAAAGTAGGAGCAGCCACACGAATTGCAAAACAGCCCTCCAAACCCCGGAATGGCCACACAAAGTTCCTTCGAACAACAGATCATGCCGTTCTTTTTTACGCGCCGGCAAGGCGCTGCAGCCGCGCCTTGGTGAGGCGGCCGTCCTCTGACTCCGTGTCGGAGTCGGAGGCCTCGTCGCCATCGAGGGCTTGCTGGAGCTCTTCGACCATCTCCAGTAGCTCCACGGTGCGCCCGAAGAGCTGCTCCTGTGCTCTCCGGGTCGCCACCAGCTCCTTCTCATGGTGGTCAGCCGAATCTCCAACTTTCGTCTCAAGGCTTAGGGTTTAGAGCTTAGGGTTTAGGGTTTAGGGTCGTTTGGGATTTTAGGGTTTAGGGCTTGGGGTTTATGGCTGAGGGTTGAGGTTTTAGGGTTGGGGGTTGAGGGTTTTATGGTTCTGGGGCCTGGGGTATGGGGGCCCCTGGTGCCTCGGGGATTTGGGGGAAGCCATACTCCTTCTTATGCACGAGTATCAGCTGGACCACACACACCTAAGCTTGGAATTCTGTTCCGAAGATATAATACACCTAGCATCAGAGCCCCACAAAATCCTTAAACCCTGGCCCTAAACCCTAAACTAGCATCGGAGCCCGAAAGCCGTGAAGCTCAAAACGAGGATAGAGCCCTCACGACCCCGAAGTCCTCTGCTGCCTGCAGACTGAACGAACACTACTGCAGGGGCCTTAATCATCAGAATAGGGTTTTGGGCTCCTTTATGGTATAGTTATATTAAGGAACCCTAAGGAATAATATTGGTAGCTATTCAGGCTTCTATAGTAACTTCACCCCCCGTGCCACAGCTCAAGCATCCAAACCTCACAGTTGAAGAAGACGATGTGGGAGTTTCCGAAAATAGGGAGGACCCTAATATGGTACCCTAAATAGTAGGATCCTCATTATAAGTTAAGGACCCCAAAATAAGGTACCCCTAATTTTCGGAAACTCCCATATGGGTGTTTAGGATGCTGGAGTCTAGATCCAGCACCGCATATCCGCCGAGCCCAACTAACGCTTAGACCCCCTGAAGAACCCGGAAAAGGACCCTGAACCCCTAGACCTAAGAGTAACCTAGGAATAAAAAGGGTGCCCTTTTTGGTTTAAAGGGGTTTATATAAGGGAACCTGAACCCTAAAAAAAGGGAATAGGGGCCTACTCTGGGTAGACCCTAACCATCGGTTATCGCTCCCATGAACCACGGTGCAGAAATAGCTGGCCCCATTCTGAGGCACTGTACCGCCTGAATCGTTTCGCAGATGCTGAGACGCTTGCGTGTTAGGCAAGACGAACGCAGTAGGGGCGTCCTGAACTGTGGCGGCCCTCTGCAGTGCTTCTGTTGACACGTCCAGATATGCTAGGGGCACACGACCGAAGACGCACACAGGGCGTGCCGATCCCCACCCGCCGAAGCGGGCCGCACTGCGCAACGCTCCTCCTAAGCTGTGAACTGAGCCTCGCGCGTAGAACGCCGAACTCGGGAGCCAGCCCGAGTCGATTGGTTCGAAGTCGCTTGGCCGTACACACCCTTCCTGAAGTATGTTAAGCGCCGCGGGTATGTTCGTGTTGTGGGCAAAGAACGCCAGCGATGGTGCTCCCGTCATAGAGACCCCTAAGTCCTCATAATAGGTATTAAGGCCCCCAACCCCTACCCATCCCCTCAAACCCTAAACCCCCACACCCCTAAACCCTAAACCCTCAAACTCCTCAACCCTAAACCCTCAAACTCCTAAACCCTAAACCCTCAAACTCCTAAACCCTAAACCCTCAAACTCCTAAACCCTAAACCCTCAAACTCCTAAACCCTAAACCCTCAAACTCCAAAACCCTAAACCCTACAACCAGCGAACCCTGAGCCCCATCATTCATACAGGAAGTCATAGCCTGATTATAGGTACTAAGGCCCTATACCCCGCCCTCCCTATCCCCCTGAGATTCCTTGTGATGACAGGAAGCCATCCCAAAGGGTCAAGTATCATTATGGTATATACTTCTGCTGATGGACAAAATCCTGCATGACCCTAAGGCCCTTATGGGAATTATGGTATATTCCTAAGCCCCAAACCTTAGCCCCTAAGGAACCCTTAAGGCCCCATATACTGTTGATGGGCAAAACCCTGCATGACCCTAAGGACTCTAAACTATGGGAATTATGGTCTATTCTTGATTATGGGTGATGCAGGATTTTGTCCATCAACAGTACTTGGACCCTTGGGGCATAGCGAGGAAGGCTCTCGAGGCCAGGGGGCAGCAGGGCAAAGTCTTCTCCAGCACGGCCCTGAAGGGAGGCACCTGCACGCAAGGAGGGTGATACTGCTGATGGACAAAAACCTGCATTACCCATAATCAAGAATAGACCATAATTCCCATAGTTTAGAGTCCTTAGGGTCATGCAGGATTTTGTCCATCAACAGTATATGGGGCCTTAAGGGTTCCTTAGGGGCTAAGGTTTGGGGTTTAGGGTTTTAGGGTTTACGGTTTGAGGCACCTGCACGCAAGGAGGGTGATGGCCTTAAGGGTGCCATTACCCAGACCCCCGGGAGGATCCAAAAAGTAGATCCCTCAATGGTGTTCCTTTTAAGGGTTCCTTTAAGGGCCCCTTTAAGGGATCTAGAGGGTTTTAGGGTTTAGGGTTTAGGGTAGATCCCTTAATGGGGGTTCCTATAAAGTACCCTGAGTAGTATAGGGCCCCAAATTAGGGGATCTACTTTCCAGATCCTCCCGAAGATCTGGGTAAAGGGTGTCTGTAAGGGATACTATAAGGGATACTATCAGGGTATTACAATCTAGGGGCCTTTAACAATTAGTATCGGGTTTTGGGGGTTCCTTCAAAGGGGTTCCTTTAAGGGATACTATAAGGGGTATTGTGGGGGGGTTTAGTATAGGGGCCGTAGTAGTTGGAATAGGGTTCTGGGGCCCATTATACTATAGCTATAATAAGGAGCCCCCAAGACGTGGGTGATGACATGATTTAGGGGTTCGTAGGGATTCGTAGGGCTTAGGGTTTAAGGTTTTAGGGTTTGGGGTTTAGGGTCCGGTGAAATATGGACATCGACAGAAACCGTCCTGAACCACTGTCTTGCAAATCATACGTCAGCAGTACTTCCAAGTGCTCAGGCTAAGGCTACATCGTTTGTGATACCAGTCTGGACGGGGATGAACACTGTGACGGTGAAGCTGGTTCTGTCCTTGCTCTCTCGCGTTGCGTCGCAGTCTTACCACTCGAGACACAATGATCGTATCTTCCAGAATGTCGTTCCTACCGTTGTTGTCAGTATAGCTATTTGTTGTGCTGGTTCCTAGGAAAAAAAGGATATGCAGGATGGGTGGAATGGAAAGCTGGCTGCCAAGCTTTGATCCTGAGACTTGGCTGGCATCCTGCTATTCAAACTTTACCCTGTGGTCTGTGACCCCAAACCACCTACATGTTTAGGGTTCCTTCTTATGAATTCTGGATACAAGTCCTTAAACGGTATGTTATTTGGACTGGCACCCTGCTGACCCAAAAGGCCCGAGCAACTCTCAAGCCTAGCTGAAACCCCTGAAAAACTGCTCAGCCGTAAAACCCCTCGCAGAAGGACTGTGCCTGAAACGTTACGGGCATCCTGGGGAAGGTATAGATGAAGGGTAACCCTAAACCCTAAACCCCTGAACCTCTAAACCCTAAACCCCTGAACCCCTGAACCCTAAACCGTTTAGGGTTTAGGGCTTAAGGTTTAGGCCTTAATATCATACTCCCCCCGCATAAACCGGAAGAAGCAGCTCTGGACCGGGATCCAAAAAAACAAGGCATAGGTAACCCTGAAGGTCCACGTACCCAAATAAGGATCCTTTCCGGGGTCTATAAGGGTACCAGAAAGGTTTAGGATTTGGGGTTTAAGGGTCCATGTACACAAATAGTACGTTCTAGGGTGACGCTAGATTCTGAGCAAGCCCACTTAGCCACCTCACAGCCCGCCAAGAACCTCAGACCTAGACACTGTTCTTGGTTGTCCTGTTCTCGCATCTTCTGGGGTCCCATAGCCGTAGGTGTCCAAAGTAACGAAACAGAAGGGTTGTAGATAATACCCAAAAACCATTCAATCACAGGATACGATTTGGCACCTGATGTAGGGGCCTTAATTATAATTTTAACAGGGTTTTTTGGGTATGTTAAACATAATCATAAGTCGGAACCCCTACAATAATATTGGTACTTAGTTAGGCCCCTATAGTTAAAGCTCAATGTTTGTACACTGGAGCCCTTAGGGATAGTACATCCGGGAAGAGACACTGCAACTCATCCTGCAACCTCATCCTAAGCCCAAAACCCGAAGTGGGAGTTCGACAACATGGCAGGGTGTAACAAAGCTTTTGACCCTAAGGATACACATACCCAAATGGTATATTCTTTGGGACCAATGTACCTTTGCAGGGCCTAAGAAAGGGGGTACGTTAAGACCAAAGTAACCCCAAATCCGAAACCTTTCTGGTACCCTTATAGGCCCCTTAAAGGATCCTTTGGTACCCTTATAGGCCCCTTAAAGGATCCTTATTTGGGCACATGGACCCTTAGGGTGTGGGAGCTGGGTGTGGGAGTTACAAACAAGGAACCCACCAACTCCGAAGCGGTCCTGTAAGGGAATTGCCATTGGCACAGACTGTATGGGGTTTGGGACTAGGGCAAGGTTTAGGGTTCAGGGTTCAGGGTTTATATAGGGTTTAGGGTTCAGGGTTCAGGGAACGAACTGTATGGGGCAGGAGGCCTCAGCAAGGGACTCGCAACACCTGTGAACTGACAACATGATGAACGCTGAAGCCTATGTGTCAAAGATCAAACCACCGTGGCAAGATGTGCTCTGCGCATGCTTGGGCATTTTGACGCACTTGCAATGTAACCAAAGCCCAATGCCGGACACAACCAAAATGGAACATCCCAGCATCCAGCAATGCCGTTCGTTAGTTGCGCTCCTGCCGCCCGGCAGACAAATCCCACTGTGATCTGCAGCAGAAGCCGCGAGGGTCGGCGCCGGCAGCACGCAACCATCGAAGAGCTTCGGCATAGCCTTCTTGAGAAGCCCGTGCAGCAGCAAACGGACAGTTGCAGCATGTCCGTGATAACCAGCATCTAAGAAGGCAAACCAGACAACAAGGCAGGGAAAGCTCGTGCCAACATCCGCCTCCAGCAGCAAACGAACAACTTCAACGTGGCCTTTACCGGCAGCAAGCAGCAAGGCAGTCGAGCTCTTGCCGGCACCGGCATCCAGCAGCAATGGAAGAACTTTAGCATGGCCTGCGTAAGCAGCTAGCTCCAGAGCGGTGATACGAGAATTGCCGGTCGCGCTCTTATCGGCCCCGGCATCCAGTAGCAAACGGACAACTTCAGCGTGGCCACGAAGAGATGCAACCTGCAGGGCAGTTAAGGCATCGTTGCCGGCCGAGTTCTTGTCGGCACCAGCTTCCAGCAGCAAACGGACTACTTCAACATGGCCGCATGTAGACGCTCGCACCAGAGCAGTTTTGCCAGCATTGTTGCGCAAGTTCTTGTCGGCATCGGCCTCCAGCAGTAAACGAACAACTGCGACATGGCCAAAGAAAGAAGCTTGTAGGAGTGGGCTGCTGCCACTCGCATCGACAACGTCGGGGTGCTGGGGCTCTTGCAGTATGGCCTCCACCTGCGGGTGTGGGTTCGAAAAATCAAGGCAACCTACCGATGGTGAGCGGCTTAGAGAACCTCGTTTCCCTGAAACCCGAAAACCTTAAATGCCGACAACTCTGGACCCTAGAACCCTTAATTAAACGTACTCCCACAATAAGCTACAGAAATAAAAGGTTGAACTCTCCGATTGCTACTAAACTATAAGAACCCAAAGAGTTTAAAGGTTGGGTGTTGGGGATCTATAAAAGTCTAAGTTGGGAAAGACCGGCCTCGGACGCGGAGCCTCTTGCCGCAGCAGGCATTAACTTGTCCGATTTCCTTGTGGAGTATTCCATCAGGACCAGGTCCAGGTCTAAGGGCGAATCAAGTCTGGTTGTATCATCTAAAGGATCGCCACGAAGGACAAGTCTTTGCCTGAATCGTGGGGGAAAGCCGTGGAACAAATGCAGCGACTGCTTCAGTGCCCGGACGTCACTCAATTCCTCCACTGGTATGCTGGCCACCTCTGCCCCTGACAGCATCCTGATGCGCAGCATTGCAGTGGAGCACATGAGCGGAGGCTGCTGGGCAACAGCTACCAGCTGAAATGCACTTTCTACTGCAGTTTCGGGTTTAGGGGTTAGGGCTTATAATGGGTCTATAGGGTTTATTTCAAGCAGCAACTCCGCAACGCGTGTGACAGCAGCCAGAATGAGGATAAGCATTGCAATGGTGATGCTGGTTAAAGTCTTGGCACCCTCGTGATAAGCCACAGTTGAATCACTATGTAGAATGCAAGGTACGGGGAAAGATACAGCCAATGTTGGAAGCATCCAGAATATCATGACGTCTGTTAGTCATGAGATGTGGCCATGAAATCTTGCGTGCAATTGGGGTTCGTGAAAGTACACCAACTTGTCGGAAACTCCGTCGGCTTTCCGGCTGGCATTCCCAGGGCTCCCTATGCCCAGCCGGCCTCCTCTAAGGGTTCCTTACGGGTTCTATGAAAGCTTTCGGATTCAGGCCTATATGGTAAGGACTTCGGCCGCGAAGTACCGATATAGGAACCCTTTAAGACGTTAATGCACAAGTATATACTGCATAGGTACATGGAGCCGTAAAAGCTGACAGTTCAAGCCTACACACTTCCTAGCAACCCAGTTTCGTACAATTCTGTTGTTTGGTTGAGGGTGCTATTGAGTTTGTATTGGACTTAAGGAACAAAAAACCATCGAATGCACAATATACTCGAATACACATACCTTCAACATCAAGAGAATTCTTGTATGGCCAGATTGCTTCGCTACAGTGCTGCTCAGGGCGCAGGGTCCGTAGTATGAGAATGACGTACTCGAGGATTCAAAAACGGCAGCATCATCAATCTGTCGACCGCAATAGCACTGACCATCAGCATCGTCTTCGTGACCAGCATGGTCAACCTGATGCAGCCTCATCACCAATATCCAGACAACCAAAAATGATCATCATCATCATCATCGTCATCATCATCGCGATCATCATCATTAGCATCATCATCATCACCATCATCATCAACGTCAACATCATCACCCACGGAGCCTTGTCTTCATCACTAACAGTCAAACTCCAAACACAAAAAACATGCACCTGCAGATCGACGGTAGAGCGCCTGGGTTCGAACCCTAGACTCCCTCTAAACTCCAAATGGGTGGTTGTCAAAATTAGGGTCCCTTTTTGGGTCCTCATCATAATACGGCACCTATTATCAGGGTACCCAAACAGGGGCCATAATTTTGACAAACACCCACATGTTAACCTCGGACCTGATGATCCGAAGCCCGGTGAAACCGTTAAGTACCCTCTCAGGCCCCTCTATACGTCGGTTTAGGGTTTAGGGTTTAGGGTTTAAGGTTTAGGGTTTAGGGTTTAGGATCCAGAAATATTAATCAGAATCATCCCAAAACGCTGCTGAACCCTCCATGGCCTGGCCTGCACAATGAAGGGCGCCGACAGGTTCAAGCAGTACACCTGGGTCTAGCGGAGGACAAGGACCCCTCAGAATTATCCGTGGACAACAACCTCTCAAAAGCCACAGCGAGAATAGCGAGTGTTCCGAACATCTAAAACCTTTTTGATCCCACAGCCCCTGAGCCCAACCCTCCAAACCCTAACCAATCGTCTAAAAACTTAACCCCAACTGTCCCAAAACCCGTAACCGTCCTCAACCATCGAACCCACTTATCGCAAGACCCTGAACCCCAAACCCTAAGTTTCCCAATCTAAGGCCTCAACCCTGAAACCAAAGTATCACATGGCCAGCAGCCTAAAATCTCATAGTCCCGACCCTAAACCCCAAAAGAGAAAATCCCAAACTGCCACCTAGACGCAGCTCCGGTCTTCAGCGTCTCCTGGGATGCGATCCTTGGCCGTTGGAGTTCAGGGATCTAGGGTTTCGGGGTTTAGAGTTTAGAGGTTTAGGGCTCATAGTTTAAGGGTTTAGGGTTCTAGGTGGTAGGGTTTAGAGTTTTGCGGTCTGGGGTTCAGGGGTTAGGGTTTAGTAGCCTCATGGCATCCAAAAAGGGCCGTGGCAGTCCTTCTGGCGAAGATTCGGCTAGAGGAGCGCGAGGATTATATGCTTGTAACCAGGGATGTTGGTTTAGGGCTGAGAAGTTTAGGGTCTAGGGTAAGGTTTAGGTGTATGTAAGCTGGAAGGGATATTGCCACTAATTGCTCCGACCCCTACATTACCAGTTTCAAACTCTGTGCTGCTGCTCCTGACACCTCCTCCTCCTCCTCCTCCACATCCTGGTGCTACTCTACTACTACTACTACTACTACTACTACTACTACTACTACTACTACTACTACTACTACTATTACTACTACTACTACTACTACTACTACTGCTACTACTACTACTACTACTACTACTACTACTACTACTACTACTACTACTACTACTACTACTACTACTACTACTACTACTACTACTACTACTACTACTACTACTACTACTACTACTACTACTACTACTACTACTACTACTCCTACTCCTACTCCTACTCCTACTGACTCCTACTACTCTACTACTACTCCTGCTACTACTACTACTACTACCTACTACTACTACTCCTACTCCCTACTCCTACTCCTACTCCTACTCCTACTACTACTACTACTACTACTACTACTCCTACTCCTACTCCTACTCCTACTCCTACTCCTACTCCTACTCCTACTACTCCTACTACTACTACTACTACTACTACTACTACTACTACTACTACTACTACTACTACTACTACTACTACTACTACTACTACTACTACTACTACTACTACTACTACTACTACTACTACTACCACTACCACTACCACTACCACTACCACCACTACTACTATAACTACTACTACTACTACTACTACTACTACTACTACTACTACTACTACTACTACTACTACTACTACTACTACTACTACTACTAGTTACTCCTACTACACTAGCAATCACGAATGGTTTCAGTAACACCGCTTCTCTGTGGTTTGGCCCAGGGCTTACGGCAAGGCACTCGATGGACTCAGGCGAGACAGTGATGAAGAACCCAGCGCTGTACACGATCCTCGGCGGTTTAGGGTTTAGCGTTTAGGGCTTTTTTTTTAAGTGCAATGGCCCCTTTCCAACTCTCGCAGAAGAGCAGGTCTTGAGCCTGCCGTCTCGGCCTACACTGAAAACAGGCCCATCGAGAAAATGAGCCAACATCAAGAAAACAGGGTCTTCACATATCTCGGCTTCTACTGCGTTCTCTCATCTGCTCATCATTGTGAACATCATCTTGACGACGAGTGTCAGGGACAAACGAGCTGCCTGCAGGAGTGACAGCAGTATTACCATCAACAGCAGTCTCAGTATCAGAGGACTGGAAGACGTCCACAGAGAGGGGAGGTACGAGGGAAGAAGTCTCAGTCCCATTGTCCGCACCCATCACCATACGACGACGACGCCGATGATCATGACCAGGGCTTTAGGGTGTCGGGTTTAGGCTGAGGGTTTAGGCTGTGACGTAGAAGCCGGCGCGGTACATGATTTTTGGCGGTTTAGGGTTTGAGGCTGTGATTTAAATTTAGGAGCTACCGGGGCCCCAAACCCTAAAAAGAAACCCTAACCCGGAGGGTTCACATACATTACCACTGTGCCCAAAACCATAATCGGGATGGTCGTTTAGGACCTAATTCCAGAATGATGTTGTTTCTGGACCCTCTGGGTAGGCCTGCAAGAATCTTATATGCATTCTTATAAACACCCAGAAAACCTTCAACCGCACCCCCCATAGACACCCTTCTGAACCCAATGTGGTATTCCCAAATGTCGTACTAGTTGGAATAAGATGTTGGGGTCTTACTTCGCGGAATGGTACTCAGGAACCCTATTGAATAGTATTGGTAATTATTTAGGCTCCTCTAGATTCCAAGCCAGCAGCTTTGCATTTTTCAGCGTGTCCATGTTTGCCTGGAGATGGCTGGCCTGTGCCACTCAGAGCTGTGTTTAAGCCCTAAAACCTACAAAGCCAAACGGCTGTAGGGTTGTAGGTTTTTTCTTTTGAGCACTTTTTGCGCAGCCCTGCAGTCTCGCTGAGGTTTCGGGTGTATGGATTTTTTGACAGTTTAGGTCTCAGGGCTCTCGATGAATGACTAGTGACTAGGGTTCTGGAATATTTTCCAGCTACACTTATATAGAGCCTACACCCTAAACCCTAAAGGCTGAACCCTACTATACGGGCCTTCATGATTAGAAAATGGCTTCGGGGACCAATATACTCTATTTATGACAAGGAACCCCCGATGTAGTAGTGCTAATTTCAGCCCCTGTTCTTACCCCTATAGCGAGCGCTCGGTCTTCTTATTTCGGCTTTGCGTTCATGTAGGAGTTTGGCGAGTTGAGACCATCGCGTGAATCCCGAAAACCCTAATACTAGAGCTGGCATTAGTCTAGGGTTTAGGGTTAGGGGCTCAGTTTTTTAGGGTTAGGGTTTAGGGCTTAGGGTTGACGCTGCCTCTGAGGAAACCCAGGCAGCACTTAGCTTTCTTCACCTTCTCTCTACGCCTAGGCTGTGGGTCGCACCGTCTCTCGCTCCAAGGTTCTTGGAGGAGAATGGGACTTAGTAACTTTATAAGTATACCGCGCCCCTCAAGAACCTACCTTCTTTAGGACATATATAAGGAAATCATAATAGGGAACCCTAAAAAGGTGGTAAGGTTATCAATACCAAAATTGGGGTTATGGGTAATTAATAACTCTAGTTCGCCCCTAAACCTTAAACCCTGAACACACATTTACAGCCCTGGTTACTGAGTCTCGTGATCATTTTAAGTACCATCACCATCCCCACCCCTAAACCCAAAGCCCCGAAACCTTAGAACCCTAAACCCGAAACCCCCGAACCGTAACCCCTAAACACCTGAATATCAGCACCCTTTGGTCTCCCTTATCAACTATAAAGTAACCCTTAAGGGAACCCTTGAAGGAACCCTAGCTGCTAGGTCCCATGATCCTTTTAAGTACCATCACCATCCCCAAACCCAACCCTAAACCCTAAACCCTAAACTTTAAAACCCTATTTAAACCTTAAAACCCTAAACCTTAAACCCCAAACCCTAAACCCAAAGCCTTAAACCCTAAACCCCAAACCTTAAACCCTAAACCCTAAACCCGAAACCCTAAGCCCTAAACCCGAAACCCGAATCCCTAAACCCTAAACCCGAAACCCTAAACCTTAAACCCCTAAACTCATGGCCTAGGCCGCCCACCTTCGATGGTGGGCCGCGCTTAAGCCCCTCGACATCGATGGCGCAGGTCGATCCAGCACGCTCGCCCGCCGTTCCACAGACAGGGGTTCTGTAGCACCCACGTTAGGCCCGGTGAGCAGAGTTCCAGGACCTACAGAAAGACATCAGTGGCATCGCAGCAGACACCAAATCAAAACAAGCCAATTGCCAAGTAGACGCTCGATTTTGCAAGTACCTACGGAAGAAACATATCAGTGGAATCGCCGCAGCCATTCGCCGTGTAGACGCTCGATTTCGCACGCCACCACCTCGAAGCGTAAGTGCCATCACAACATATCCAAATTCAAGAAAAGACCGCGCACAGTACTGCATCGCGTAGAACGTAGAAACTAAGGACTGGAGAAGGGAACAAACATATGGAAAGTTAGCCCAAACCCTGCGGCACGTGGAGTTGGGACGACTTCGCCCCGGCAGGAACGACTTAACCTACCGATCCTACCGCTAATAGCGGATTGTGTGGCTTGACACTGTGTTTCCGCAAGGTGACGCTGCACAAACAAGCATGCAAGACATCATCAAAGAAGTGGATTGCAAGGCTTGACATTTTTTTTTGCAAGGTGACGCTGCACAAACAAGCATGCAAGACGTCATCAAAGAACTGGATTGCAAGGCTTGACAATGCGTTTCCGCATGGTGATGCTGCACAAACAAGCATGCAAGACGTCATCAAAGAAGTGGATTGCATGGCTTGACAACGTGTTTCCGCAAGCTGACGCTGCAAAACAAAGCATGCAAGACGTCATCAAAGAAGTGGATTGTATGGTTTGACAGTGTGTTTCCGCAAGGTGACGCGAGACTGTTGCGACTTTCGGGGTGCATGTAGGGCAGGCACCAAGCAGTACTGTTGGAATCGCAAATAGCAGACGCACACGGGGGAAGCCTGTCCGAGGATCCCGATTGATGCGGTTTAGCGGAATCCCCAAATGCACACAGGACCTGGGGCGACAGGCCTGTGCCCTGCAGCAAACAAACACCGCAGATCATCATCTTGGAAACCGTGCCACGGCAAAATGTTTTCCCGCATTGTCTTGTGGGTTTCAGTCGTCGACAGGCGCCACCACCAAGAAGCTTCCCCGCATAGAAGGAGTTAGTTTGTTTTCATGGTGCCGCCGCAATATGCTTCCCCGCCGTATCCGGCCAATAGATTCGACAGCACCGGTAACTCACAAATGTGTTCCTTTCGCCGGTTGCCAAACCACTCCGAACAGCAATTCACCATGTAAGCGCAACAAACATGCACTTCAAACTATGTCCCGGTGGCGACTGCCGAACCCTGCACTTACTTGGTGTTTACATGTTTTCAACATGTTAAAACAGCACTGAACCGGCTTGCATGCTTGCAAAATCATGCACTTACTAGGCGTTTAGCATTGTGGGCACGACTTATCGGAAAGCTTCCCCGCATGCTCTGCTGTACATACACAAAAACGGGCACGACTTTCACAGGTCCCTGTAGGGGCTTCCTGGCTGGTTCTTGGGGGGGACTTGGACAAAAACTGTTTTTTTACCTGCTTGATTTGTGGGGGTGCTGGCCCCCCTGGCCTTGGCCCCCCCTGGCCCCCCCCTGGCCCCCCCTGGCCCTAGCCCCTTTTCCACCACCGGGACCCCCGCCACAGTCGGGCCATGTCTGCGATTCGCAGGCAACAAAACCGCTAATAAATCCTACAACCCCTGTTACACTACCGCTACGCAATCTTGCAGCAAACCCTAAACCCTAAACCCTAAACCTTAAACCCTAAACCCGAAACCCTCTCCCATGGTCTCCTTGTAGTTGTTTGCGGCGTGCAGGTTCGTCGTCAAGGAACGCTCCTGGGAGGCTTCGACAACGGGGCTTTGAAGTAACCAAGGTTCTATAACCCTAGGCATCTAAGGACTCATCTAGGGTTCCTATAAAGGGATCCATAAGTTGTCCCTTAAAGGGATCTATAGGGATTAGGGTGTAGGCATCTAAGGACTCACATATTACGGCTTTTGGGCCCAAAGACCATACTATTTAAGGCTTTTGGGCTATTTTGATGACCAGGGTAAGGGTTCCTTTGAAGGGTTCCTTTGAAGGGATCCATAAAGGGTTCTATGAGGGTTATAGGGGCTCGATAAGGATGCCGTAAGGTTTGTATTATGGATTCGAAAAGGGCTCTATACGGGAGAAGAAAGCAGCTCACGGGGCTATGAGAACTTATGCACTTATCATCAATTGCCATATGCATAGTAGTTACTACGCCCCATGATCCCTTAAGTGCGGTTTAACTCACTGGCCCTAAACCCACGGAAATGAAAGTTGAAACTTGCAGAATCGACTACCTTATAAGAACCCCCAAAGTTGAAAAGTTGAGTTTACAGCCAATAAGGTAGAGACTCGTGCTTCATAGTAGTTCCCCTTAACAACAGGTCCTAGACAAAGAATTAAAGTACTGTACTCCAAAACCCAGTAAAGGGCCAGATACGGGTCTACCTGGGAGGTCTAGACGGACGAAACGGGAGCTGTAGGAGTGCTTAGGAGTTTCATGGGGTTTCTGTTGTAAGGATTCTGTAAGGGTTTGGAAGGATGTAGGAGTTAGGACTCAGAACGTTTGGGGGGTTGAGGGTTTCCGGTCTTCGGGATGGGGGAATGGGGCTAGGGTCCACTTCAACCATCCGCGGCCTGTGTACTCTGGTCTTCAGCAAGCCTATACTTGGCAACCGCCGTTGAGGCAGGCATAACCGCAGTCAAGCTTAGTTGCAAAATCCTGTGAACCTCCAAGAAGCTTGCCAGCCGCTTGTTGCAATTCCGGACCATGAATTCAAGAGCTCTCGGACAGGATCAAGAGACGGAGTGAATAGTCATTGTAAGACATTTGGACGGGTTGTGAAGCTGTCTCTACCACATCTATGTTGACGGACTCCAACTGAGAAACAACCCTGAACCCGAAACACTGGACACCAATAGCAACAAGTTTAGCCCCTTCCTCCAGTCAGGAAGGAGCGGTTCATGATTTTGGCGGCGTCAAGCATTCCAGCTTCTGAAGCTTACCCTGTTCTTGCAGGATCATGGGACTTAGTATCTAGGGTTATAGTTAGGGTAACTATTCTACTTATAGCTACTTATAACCCCAATTAAGGTACTTATAACCTCGCTTACTAAGTCCCATGATCCTCCGCAAATCCAGCGAGACGAAATCGGAACTTCGGATCTTTGAGTCTGGGACCCTGCTTGGAGGTTCATGGGTGGTTATACGCGGAGATATAAGTTCCCTAATATGGGTTATTATTATGGTTACCTTACGTCTAGCCCCACTTATAACTACCCCATGAACCTCCCATGTGAAGCACGAAACCTTGCGTTTGGGTTGCCTGAGTCCTCCGAATGCCGTAGCAGACAACTTAGTGGAGTTCCGAGTTTAACGTCCAGCGCCCGACGGAGAACCTGGTGGTTGCGGGAAACCAAGGCTACTTTATTCAGGGGTGCTACATGCATACGTGTTCAGCTATCCAGGAGGTCTTGGAATAGCAATCCTCATCCGCCATTCCCATGCTTCTTCAACCAACTCTCCTTGTGCAGAGGGCGGCAGCACCTGGGGTGCTGCCTCAGAGCCAAACCCAATGGGATGGCCCGTGCTGTCCCTAGTCGTGATCGCGCTGCTCGCGGTGTGGCTGCTGCCACTGTTCCCAGTGCTTGTTGTCGGAGCCCTGGCGTTGTCGGTCCCAGTCGTGATGTCGCCATTGTCGATCCCATTCGTGGTAGGTGTCCTTTGGACACTTCCTTCCCCTGCTGCCCCGGTGCCATACTATAATATACCACAATATACTACAATATACCATAATATACTACAATATACCATAATATACTATAATATACCATAATATACCATAATGTACTATAATACACTGTAATATACTATAATATACCATCATATACTATAATATACTAAAACATCGGAGAGGCGAGGCTCAAGGATGACCTGGTGGACGGGTACTTGGAGGATCATGGGACTCAGTCAGTAAGGTGAAGGTTTAGGGTTTAGGGCTCCTTTAAAAGGGATCTACAAGGATTCCTATAATGGGATCTATAAGGGTTTTGGGTCTACTTGGGGGATCATGAGACTTAGTAAGTGAGGTTATAAGTCCCATAATAAATTGGGTTATAAGAAGATATAAGTACAGCTACCTGAATTATAAGCCTGGTTACTAAATCCCATGATCCTCTAACTAGGGGTCTCGGCATCCTTGAAGCCGCGCGACAGGCATAAAGGGTTTCAGGTACCGTTGTGGGAAAAACTTTCCCCAGTCATAATGATGATTCACTGTGCAAACGTTAAGTTACACCAAGGATTTTTCTTTTACTGGCTGGGATAGTATTACAATTTTCTGTTTCTACTCAAGCCCAGAAAAAGTGTTACGCAGCTATGACAAAGTTTAAGCTTACAACACTCCCAAGCATTAGGGTTTAAGGTTTAGGTTTAGGGTGTTCCGTGGCTTAGAGCCCCAAAGCCCAAGGCTCAAACCCTCGGGGTCCTTGTTCATGATCGTCACGGCGCAGGCACCGGTGGGCGTGGTCTTGTCAATCATGTACTTGCAATCAACACCATCCTGGCCGGCAGCACGACGCCACGCGCCCAAAGCCAAACAAAAACCCTCTGCTCTGAATATCCTGACCCGCAAACCTTAGTCAGGTGCAGGATCATGGGACTTCATACATAAGGTTCTGGGTACATTAATACGGGTTATAAGTAAGTATAAGTCTGTAGAGTTACCTTGCCTATAAACCGAATCTCTTGATCCCATGATTCTTTAAGCAAGCACTCAAACCGTCAGGTGCTTAACCCTCAGGCTGACAAAACCTGGAAGTTTCCAGGTTTCGGCTTTCCCACATCTTCGGGGTCTAGGGTTTAGGGCTTAGGGTTCTAGAGTTTAGGGTTTTTGGGATAAGGGCTTAAGGTTCCATGACCTCCAAAGCAGAAACCCTCGGCACCAATTTGTCACCCAACCTGAAGGGGCCTCTGTCTGAACCATGGGGAGAGTAGTACACCTTGCATTTGGAGGGATTCGCCCATGGCGATCAACAACCTGATGGGGAGGGGCCAAAAGGCGGGGTTCAAGATTCTTGGGGTAGGGATTCCTTAATAAGAACCCTATTATGGGAGCCAAAAATCCCTACTCAACCCCCATAGGCTAAAACCCCTTTTGGCCCATCGAAACAAGAAGGAGTCAGAAGCTCCCTCTTCGAGGTTTTTCAGCCTGGGTCCTCGCCAACCCTTCGTTCGGAAGCATACAGAACTCCCTCTGAGCCAGTCCGGCTTCTCTCAATCCGACGGGCCCCAACGTGCCGTCCATCGCGATATCCCATTCGTCGTCCGCGACGCCGGTGGCAGCTGCAGCGGGAAATTCGATCGAATCAGCTTGTCGCATGAAGAACCCCAAACCCCAAAACACTACCAAAATCGAACACCCCAAACCCAAACCCTAAACCCGAAGCCCTAGGCCCAAAACACAAGGCCCTACACACGAAACCCGAAGGCCGGGGGGGGCCTAAAATCCCGGAAGACCAGCGCCTTCTTGCAGGCATCAATGAGCTTCTTGCCGAAGTCGTCTTCGCCGATGCAGCCCATGTAGGCAGTCTTGCCCGGCTCCTTCAAGCGGGCTCAAATGGTTTGGGGCTTTACCTGCATGTCGGGTATCATGGGGAACTAAAGGTTAACGTGTTTGGTTATATAGGGATTATATAGGGACTATACATACTACCCAAAAAAGGTTGATAGGAGGCCAAAAGGGGGGTTTAGGATCCTTGGGGTAGGGATTCCTGAATAAGAACCCTGTTATGGGAACCAATCCCTACTAAACCCCCATAGGCTAAACCCCCTTTTGGCCTCCTATGAAAGGTTGAAGGTTACCTACTCTGCTACTAGGTTTATGGGTGGAGAAGATTCTTGCTTTGGGATTTTGGGCGCTTGCGGGTTTAGGGGGTTTGCAAGGACTTGCAGGCTCATGGGTTTGGGGGCTTGAGTTTGGGGGTTTAAGGTGAAATTACGTGGAAGATCTAGCGCTACATACCCTCAGGCCCTAAACCCCTAAGCCCTAAACTCTAAACCCTGCCGGTTGGATTCAAGTTGGAAGAGGTTCGCAGCTGGGGCGGCTGCGGCTGTCTTCAGGAGCCTTCGGAGTGCAGTTGCTCCAAAACTCAACCCTAAGGGTCCAACGGTTGATGATATAAATCCTGCACCACCCATAAGAAGGAATATACCATAATTCCCATAGTCTAGGGTCCTTTTAAAGTCATGCCGGATTTGTATCATCAACCGAAGTACCCAGTTATCATATACTGTCTCTTCAAAATAGTAAACTACATAACTACCATCCGAAAACCGAATACCTAACTATTGGGTTCTCTGGACCCTTAGGGCAAAGGATATCGAAGCCGTGAGACTGCAGAGTCCCCACCATCGTCAACCCTAGGCCTTTAATATTTAGAATAGGGTTTTGGGGTTCCTTTCAAGGGGCTCCTTGAAGGGATACTATAAGGGTTGTTATGGGGGGGTTAAGTGTAGGGGTCTTAATACTTAGAATAGGGTTTTGGGGCCCATTATGCAATATTTATAATAAGTAACCAACCCGCAGAGCCCGAAGTAGTATTTGCAATGACTAATACCCCTGTTTTACCTGCAATAAACCAAAAGCTCGTGTGTTCATTTTAGCGTTTAGGGCTTGGGGGAAGGGTCTGAACAACCAAGAATGTTTCAGGGTTCCTTAAATGTCGATTTCCTGATCAATGGTTCCTTGAATTGGTAGGCATTGGTGGGTTAAGGTGCACCCTAAAGCTGGAGTGACTTGACTAAACCTTGACTCTTAAGTCCTACACTCAAAGGGGGAAAGGAGGGACCCTTAATGGGAACCCCTACCCTATAATCGGCTAGATCATGGGTAAAAAATAGCTAAATCAAGGGTATATGTCCTTATTGAGGGTCCCTCCTTTTGCCCTTGGATACGCCCGAAGCACCAGCCCAACACTCTAAACCCTGAGCTGCTTCGCATCTGGAGCTTCGGGTCCAGGCCGTAAGCAAGGAAAACCAGGGGCCCTGAGCCCCAACGAGCTCTATTCTTTAGAAGCTGCCCCCACCCTGTAACAGTCACTAATTATAAGGACTATGTTAGGGCCCTATTATATTCCTATTATACCACCATTACAGGGTGGGGGCAGCTTCTAATCTATTCTCTAATCTACGAGGCTGAGGACAGTCGAAATCTCGTGTTCTCTACACGACCTGCGCTCCTGAATCATCCACTGTGCCACACGGATGCTGTTCTGGGTGGCGCCACCAGCCACGTAGACCACCTATTCGACATGCCGTTGAAGGTTGAGGGCCCTGAACTTATACGGCTGAGGTGACACAATACTTTCGATTACCTTCACCCGGAAGAACCTACATTTTTAAGGACTTATATAAGGAAACCATCATAAGGAACCCTAAAAAAATAGGTTGTTCAGGGTTAAGGTAAAAACTTGGAGCACTGAACCCTGAAACTATATCATCAGGCCCAGCTAAATCCTGAACCCGAATCCCAAACCACAACGAACAAGCACGACAACAACAGCAGCCAAGCGACAAACCTCCAAAACTCCCAAGCCCCGAAGCCCAAAACCCTCTGGAAGCCTGCGCACACCAACTCTGAGCCCTGCGCCGCCTACACCCTATACCCTCGACCCTAAACCCCTCTACTCATCCCTACAGAATTCCCGTAAAGCCGCACAGAAACTCGCAAACACGGATTCTGGCGAGAAACATCCTTCTTGGCGGCCAGCTCAGCGAACAGAGGCTGGTGCTTGTCCTGTTGTCGTCCCAGGTTGGGGACTGAGAGATGTCAGACCAAAATCCCCCCTAAACCCGAAACCCTACTTGCAGGATCATGGGACTTAGTAAGTAAGGTTAGAAGTACCTTAATTCGGGTTACAAGTATGGTTACTCGAATTATAACCCAAGTTACTGAGTCCCTTTAAGTAAGCCCTAAACCCTAAACCCTGAACCCTGATTCCTAAGCCGTAGACTTAGGTAGAGCTTGAGAACTTCGACTTCAGGGCTTGGAGCTTTAGCGCCCTACCTGGACCCCAACAGTATGTGGAAGGATAGCCTTTCATAAGATGTTGGGCCAGTCTTTTGCCTATGTTGATGGTATCGGTAGGGCTCAAGTCACCTCCGCAGTTACCACCAATAGTGTTACTAACTATCTCTCAAGCCTGAAAATGATGAGTTCGTCCAGGTGAAGAAAGTCCATCTTATCCCACGCCAGAGCCACTAAATCATCGGGCTGCTCTTCGGATTCGCAAAGGATTTGGCTCATTGCAGGATGCCTGCCGCCTTTGTCCGAGCAGCGGGCCATCGTCCACTTCAGATAATCGCACAGACCGCAGTGGATGAAGGGGCGAGCTGTAGGACGACGCTTTATCCCAGGGAGCTCCGTTCTCCAAGCCTTGAGGCAGTATTTCAGCCCTGCCACCTCTTCCTCCGGCTTCTGTTTCTGCTTGCCTCAGTTCTCCAGTGCTTATCAAGGATGCCCCTGCACAGGATGCGTACTGCTACCCTGCACTCTGGCAACGGCCCTACGTGTCCAGCTCCCTAAAAGAACTACAGGGTAACTTCAAGCCCCAAGCCTTAAAGCCTAGTTCGTGAACCCTCTGACAGGCTACCCCAGTAGGTGAAAGGTCCAAGGTTACTTACTTACTCGAATCCCCCTTGCAGCAAACACGCTGTAGGGTTTGGGATTTGGGGTTTTCGGACCGTCCTTCCAGAAGGTATACCCAGAGAGCCCCATACCCTTTAATTAAGGAATATATCTTAAATTATAAGGGGATTCATATTATGATTTAAGCCATATTCCTTATTTAAGGGGGTATTGGGCTCTCTGGGTAGGCCCTAAACCCTTAACCCTAATACCTAAACCGTCGCTCTGGCTTACAAGCACCCCGGTGAGATCCATCTGTTTAGGTGATCGTCTGCGCCCGCAAGGCCCGAATCCTGAACCCTGTAACCTTGAATCTGAAGCCCGAACACCAAAACCTAAACCCCACTAATCCAGCAAACCCTAACAACAGGAAAATCTATAAGAACCCCTCTACTGAGAGCTACCAGACCATCTGTTAACAAGGCCACATAAAAACCCTGACCGTCTCACTTAGGCCCTGTCGAAAGCTTTGAAGATCCTTAGGAAGAATCCCTTGAAGCAGCCTCTGCAAGGATGGCGTTGCCGGGAATGAGGCCATACTTGTCGAAGGTGTCCTGGATTCGGGGGGGTGTGACCCATTATCTATTCTACATACTCTGTACGACTACGCATGGTGGTGCTCATAGTTCAACCGATCAGTCTTGCCGGCATTTTTCTCCCAAAGCTGAGTCTTTTTTGATGAAGACCGGCCAAAGCTGAGTCTTTTTTATTTTTTTGATGAAGACCGGTCTCCCGCAATAGGTATGGAACTTGACTCTTGGCTGTCGGCATGAGGCTACTGCTCCGGGGCATATAAGGGCTTCAATGCTTCAGGGCTGATATCGGGGCATCAAGTTCCCGGACGGACATCTGCACGAACTCAGCGTGCAGCAAAGGTCCGTCGTTTCTTTTGCTGTCCCTCCTCTGGTGGAGGAGCCTCGGACCTGCCCAGCAACCTGCTCACTTCTGCAGGCAAAGCGCCCTTCCTTAGCATGGCTTTGATCTTGTTATTGCTGGCCCCAAAGCTCCTGCACGTCCCCTGCAACGACTCCAAGCCCTTGAGCATCGCAGATTCTGCGATGGCGGCGAAGCTTTCGATGGTGATCATCTCTGCCAGAATTCCTGCAAGCACGGGCACAATGCCGGTTGCTTGCCAGCGGTGGGCCAAGTCCAGAGCAACCAGTACTGTCTTGTAGTCCGGGTCATCGCGAGTGGAGCTTGTGTAGAGCATATCCACCAGAAGCCGCACGCCAGAACCCAAGGAGTCCTTCACAGGAATCCGCTTGCTCGAGCCTTCCTTCATGGTGGACTCCAGCATGGCCTTCAGAACGGGCGAGGCGGCAAGGAGAACGAGGTCGTGAGCCGACACCTCTCCATCCGCTGTCTCAAAGATCACGTTGTGCGTGGAAGTCATCTCCCGTATGGACTCCCACGTGTCCACGACACTTTGAGGCACTGAAAGGTTGCTTTGCAAAGGCCTATTTGTGCCTGCGGTAAGTGCTTTCACAAAGCCTCTGTAAGCTTCGATTCTGGGTTGGAAGCCTTCGGCATATGGTGAACTGAGCAAGGCCTTCAACAATGTGCATGCAAACGTTGTTGCACAATGCCCCGCAAATGAAACTTTGATTTTCGAGTCCTCTCCCTTGCTCTTTTGCCAGGTTTCATAGCTTTCTGATGCACCGTTGGTGGGTTCCTTTTCGAACGGGTCCGCTCCTGTTTGAACCATCCAGTTTAGCATCTTGACCCGGGATTCGGTCTCAGTGACGGGGGCGGTGACCATCACCAGAACCAAGGGCAGCCGCCTAAGATAGTGTTGGACTGTACCTAACGCGAGCTGACCGACGACCTAAAGTGACTGCAAAGCTTCACCAGTAGAACTTCAAGTTCCCTGTAATCTGTAGTCTTCTTCAAGGGTCCCAAAGGGTCCGAGAAATTGTACCGTATACAATATAATCGAAAAAACATGTAATATAATATCATATAGTATCATTATCGTCTCTATATAGTATATATATATACACATCTATAAATATATATATATATATATATATATATATGTATATATATATATATATATATGTACATATTCCTGGGTCGAGGCCTGAGTTTACAAAAGCTGTATCCCCAATTATCCGAGACGCGAGGTTTTGCTCACGAAGTCGGACCAGTCATAGTCTGCTGGGGTCACACGCTGCAAGGCTTCAAGGTCACCCAGCTCGATCACAGATCGAATCACATCGGCCATACATGTTGGAGGCATGAAGTCGGCGCGGCCAAACCAGCCCTGATGTGAGAGCTGCGCACGATGACAGAACAGCAGCTAACATCCATACCAACCGTGAAACTAGTTGCAATCAGAACAAACAGAGTACTGAACGACGCCACAATGCCTGTGGGGGTAGGGGCAGGGACTATGATGCCGACATCCCTCTATATGTCTGTGGCAGAAATGTCTCTGGGCCCGCGGCTTTAGACATCGACCTACAAGTTGAAAAGTCTATGAACGACGTTGCAGTGCAGTGTACTGTATAAGAATGTGCAAGCAACCATATGCAAACTTGAAGACCCACGGCATTAGGTCCTAACATGTATGGAAAATAGTTTATTGTAGCCATTACCGAAACATCCTAATTAAGCCCTAAACCCTGAACCTTAAAGCCCCTAGCCCTCAACCCTCAAACCCTATCTTCTCTAAACCTTAACCCCTCAACCCTAACCCCTAACAAAGCCTAAAACCAAACACCTACTAACCCTACACCCTCAACACTGACCCGTAACCCCGAACCCCTGAGCCCTAAACCCTAGCGCCTACAACCCCTAAAGCCGAAACCGTAACTTACCCCTAAAGCCCCTAAACTCGCAAGGTCCTGGCCAACCTCTGCGGAGATGTCGAGCCTCGGACGTGCATGGGAGAAGCTGGGATGCTCTCTTCACGACTATAGCGCTTTATCAAGGCTTCCCTTCCTTTCTTATGTGTGTATGTGTATGTGTGTGTATATATATACACACATATATATATCAAAGCAGAGAGGGAGAGACAGAAGGGAGGGAGAGGGAAATCTGGGTCACCTTGTCTTAAGACCCGCTTCGAGTCGCAGGCTACAAGGTTTCACGTTTAGTAGAAGGTTATGTCCCCGTACACCACTTGTTTTGGCATAGGGCACGGATTACCCTAAACCCTAAACCCTAAACCCTAAAGCCTGAAGCCCAAACTCTCAACTCTCTCAACCCAGCTTTGATAACCAAGCCCTGATCCTAAACCCTGCAACTTGAACAACCCTCGGCTCGAAATCCTACGCTATGAAGGGTACCCTTTCTTCCTATCGTTCGGCTTGAATAAGGGAACCCCAAAACAAAAAGGGCAAAAGAGTACTAGTCAGGAACCTAGATGTGCACCCCGGAATAATGAACCCCCTCCTGTCCTTCATAGATCCCCTGAATGGCACCCTGAATCCTAAACCCGTACGGATCCCTGAAACAATCCTTATAGATCCCGCTAAGGGAACCCCATTCTCTGAACCCTTATTAAATCCCTTTTGCAACCCTTGTAGATCTCTTTTCGGGAACCCTAGACCCTGTAGAGCTCGTATACAACCCTTGTAAAGCCCCTAAACCCTACCCCTTAAACCCTAAACCCCTAAAAGCCTAAACCCTAAACCCTAAACCCTAAAACCCTAAACCCTAAAACCCTCAACCCTAACTCCTCTCGAGGGCCGCCCACAAGCCCTAAGCCACAAACCCCTGAAGCACCTAGGCCAGAAATCCAAAAAACACATCCAAACCATAAAAGCCGAAACCCCTAAACTCTAAATAAAACCTAATTTTGGGGTTTTGGATTTAATCTTAAGCCCGAAAACCGTGGGGTTTACTACGCCGAGATATTTACTACGCCGAGATGCAGTGGGTTTCCCATACCAAGGATGGCGGCCATGATTGCCTGAGCTGGTGCTTCAGGTTTTGCGGCTCAGGGTTCCTTCGAAGGGATCTGGAAGGGTTTAGGGTTTGGGGGTTTACGGTTCAATTGGGGGGGTTCTTATACATGGGATCCTGATATTTACGTCTCCATATCAGGATCCCACATGGAGCTGCTGATGAGAGTGTAAGCCCATGAGCTTAATGCTTGGGCTTTCGGGTTTAGGGTTTAGGGTTTAGGGTTTAGGGTGAGGAAACTTATCGAAGCTGGCATAGAAGGTTTGTAGCGATGGCAACTAAAAGGCAATACTGGCCAAACTCTCGGCACCTCCTTCACAACTTGAAAGCGGTACAAAAACCTTTTGCGTGGTAACCAACAAGAACCCTGAACCCTCAGACATTCAGAACGGCCCGTTCACGAGAGGCTATAGTATACATATATATATATATATATAAGAAGGAGACTTACCAAATCCCTGAACCCTAAACCCTAGGAAGGAGACCAACCAGATCATGCTAATCAAAACTCAGGCTCTTTTATCAAATGCAATACTCCCCAAGAGTCCGTGTGCCCGAATAGCCGAAGCATTGGCCCCGAATCAAATATCTTTATAGGGACTACTTTACAGCCAAAGCATATATTATGAGATCACGTAGACCCTTCAACCCTAAAGCAAAAAACCCTGACAGAACCCCTATAGAACCCTCAGAGGCGCTCTATGAACCCTTGCAGGACCCTCAGCGTAACCTTAAACCCTAAACCCTTACACCCTAAACCCTAAACCCTAAACCTTAAACCCTAAACCCTAAACCCTAAACCCTAGACGAATGAGCCTGAACCAAGCTGCGAGGAGGAGATTCGAGCGAAGAGCTGGACTGCTAGGAGGCTGGGGAAACAGGCTGCGGACGTGCACATTAGAGTTTAGGGTTTAGGGCCATCCTCAAAGTAGGGGCTTAGGGTTTTGAGGTTTAAGGCTTAGTTTTCTTTTTTTTGGGCCTAAAGGCTTAGGGTCTAGGGTTTGGGTAAGGCGTGGGGGTGTTTGGGCTTAGCGACGTTGCGTTTGTGGGTTTAGGGTCTCAGGGTTAAGCGCCAGCGAAATTATCACAGGGAGTATACACATAAAGCATGAGAAGGATCGATACCAACTATGTAGGTGAAGCTCAAGTGCCTTCTTTTACAGCTCTTTCTCCGTGATGAAGGCTTAGGGTTTAGGCTGTCGGGGCTTAGTTGTTGTATGGCTTTAGACAGCTGAGGCTTTACGGGTTGCGAGCTCTGGCTGGGCACAGGCCGGGTGTTGAGGATCAGCTTTCAGCGGTGTAGGGTTTAGAGAGTTTAGGGTCTACCCCGAGGCATCTAAGGACTCTTATATTTATATTAAGGCTTTTGGGGCCCAAAAACCATGCGATATAAGGCTTTTGGGCCATTTTGATGCCCAGGATGCACAAGCCCCCGCGGCCTGAAAGCCTCAAGCCCTACACATGGAACCCAGAGCCCGAACCACAACCTAAGCCTGAACCCTTCCCACTAAAAGCCCTAAGCCACAAAGGGCTCGCAGATCGGGGTTATAAGCAGATATAAGTACAGTTACCTTAATTAAAATCCTAGTTACTAAGTCCCATGATCCTTGAAGTAGACATTGCAAAAGAGTCCCACAACCCGTTAATTAGGAAATACTCTTGAACTTGGGGGCCTCAAAAGGTAGGATGAAGGTAGGTAGGATTAAGGATCCCTTATATTGGGACTCTAATTTGGGAGTAGCCCACCTACCTTCATCCTACCTTTTGAGGCCCCTGATGAACTCAGAGTAAGGAGCTCTACATCACGCCAGGCGCTCAATCGGCGGGAACTGTGCACTCTGGAATATAGAAGTTTCCGAAAATCAGGGGTACCTTATTTAGGGGTCCTTATAATAAGGGTCCTACCATGTGGGGTACTACATTAGGGTCCCTTATTTTCGGAAACTCCCATATAGAGAGATGGAGCTCCAGAATACTTCACCAAGGATCCGTCAGACGCTAAATGCCCGAAACAAAAACACTAAACCCTGAAGACCTACACTAGAAAAAACCATGCTGTAGGGGCCTTCATAATTACCTACACTACTTTGGGGGGTTCCTTAATTATTATGGTTCTAGCATAATATACCCCAAAACCCGATTCTAACAAATGAGGCCCCTATATTCGACTCTGAAACCCAACAGGGTTTTGTAGGCAGAGCTAGCGCCTAGCAGAATGGCGTCCCAGGCCGCGAGGGAAATGCGCCAAATCGAAACCTCGTTCTTCAGGTTTGGGTGTAAGTTTATGATGTATAGGCTCTACCTGGAGCCCAAAAGCATGCAGAATAATAGCCTTTAGTGGTGTTGGGCCATTATTTTTACCTGCTCTTGGGGTTCAGGTAGGTTCTGGGGCTTAGACCTTTGGCAGTCTATAGGCTTTGGGTCTTAGGGCGCACGGTTTTGGCTTGGAAGCTTCGCAGTTCGCAGATGTAGCTTACGAGCTTCTATAGTCAAGGGATCCTTGAAGGGTTCCTTAAAGGGATCTTAAGGGTTCTACAGAGGATTTAGGGTTTAGGTTTCCGAAAATTAGATAAAGTTGGAAACCGGATTGAGGCCAAATAGTGCTGGGATTCCATATACATTACTTTCAAGGATTGAGGCTATTGGGTTTCCAACTTTTGGACTTCTACTGTAGACCCGAAACCCTCGAACCTCTTCTATGATGCAGGGCTTCATTGACTCATGGATTTTAGGGCTGCTGCATCTCAGGGTTTAAACTTTAGCGCCAAGGACGTGGGTGTAATATAGGGGCCTTCATAATTCGGCGAGAAATCTGGAAACTAATATGGGAAAATGATAGGATGACTATACCGGGACACTCTCGTGAGTTATTCCGGCCTATATTGCACTTCACCTTGCAATGAAAACACGCATAAGCCTCAAAAAAGCCTTGCTATTCAAGTAAAAAAGACACCAGTAGTTGAGAAAACCCTAAAACCCAAAACCCGAAACTCAAAGCCCCAACCCCGAACCTTAAAGACCGTCGGAGCAGAACCCTGAAAAAACCCTCGGAAGACCCTTTGGCACAACAAGCAACATTCCTACACCCTAGAGGTGAGGAAAAAAAAAACTGAACTCCGAACAACCCAATTTCCTAGTTAATTACTTCAAAACTCACCAAACCCTAAACCCTAAACCCTATAAACCAAAACCTACCAAGAGCATTGTCAGGTCTCCCACCCCAGGGCTTGGGAGTGTCCATCGCACCTGCGCTCACGAGCTCAAGACTCAGATGCGGTTTTCTGGCTTAGACGGTTTAGTGTTTAGGGTTTAGGGTTTAATTTAGGGTTTAGGATTTTAGGTTTAGGGCTTGAGGGTTTGAGGGTTTTAGGTCTTGACGATTTGAAGGCTTGGCGGTTTGAGGGTTTGAGGGTTTGGGGGTTTGGGGGTTCGGGGGTTTGAGGGTTGGTTTGAGGGTTTGAGGGGTCAGAGGGTTAGAGGGCTAGAGGGCTAAAGGGTTAGAGGGATTCAGGGTTTGAGGGTTGGAGGGTTTGAGGGTTTGAGGGTTTGTGGGTTTGGGGGTTTGGGGGTTTGAGGGCTTGAGGGGTTTGCGGTTTGAGGGTGTGGGGGTTTGGGGGTTCGGGGGTTGGGGGTTTGAGGGTTTGAGGGTTTGAGGGTTGAGGGTCTGAGGGTTTGAGGGTTGAGGGTTGAGGGTTTGAGCTTCAGGATTTGAGGGCTTGAGGGTTTGAGGGTTTAGGGCTTGGGATTGAGGGTATAGGGCTCGAGGTGAGGGTTTGAGACTGGGCTTTGAAGTAACCAGGGAGAAAAACGTATAGACTTTTATTGCATAATGGTTCCCCGTCAGCAGCAGGTCCCGAAAAAAGTTTTAAAGTATGCTACTCCAAAGCCCAGGAGAGTTTAGGGTCGGGGATTTAGGGCTTCTGGGTGTGAGGTTCAGATTCTCGGATTTAGACCCGTAGCGCAAACAGCCAAGTCTCTAATAAGGACCATTGCTTCAAAGAAAAGGGTGTCTACCAATCCCTGGTGGGCCTTACCCTAAACCCTAAACCCTAAACCCTAAACCCTAAACCCTACCCTAGACCTTCAACAATCTTGTGGCCCCCTGACTCGAAAGCCACACTTGCGCACTCGATCTAAAATCCTTAAACTTGGAGGGTCATGGGTAGTTATACGTGGAGTTCTAAGTCCCCTAGTTATACTTGTAGGTACCTTACTTATAACCCCACTTATAACTACCCCTGAACCTCCGAGAACAACTCAGAAGCCACAGCCGAAAAGCCTTTTCCTCACAGCACAGCTGTCGAGAACAGGGTTTCCAGGTGTAGGTGCTTACGCAGGTTTTGTAGGGTTTAGGTTTTAGGGCTTAGGGTTTTGTACGTTTTGTCGGGGCGTCACAGTGCTTTACGAGTTTTTGAAGGATTCAAGGGTTACGGAGTGTTATATTCAGTTTCATTCGGGCTTTCTGTTTTTGTATGTAACTGGAAGCTCGACTCACGGCGCAGTGTGTCGAGAAATTCCCGCGCTGTGTCTCTGCTGAAGGGTGCCAGGGAGCCCAATGCCCCTCGATAAAGGTATAGAGCTTACATGTTTAGGGTTTACCCAGATCCCCCGAAAAGCAGGTAAAATGAAGGTCTCGACACTGAATAAAGGCTGTTCTACAAACTGTTGCTTGGAGGGTCGGGGGACTTAGTAAGTAGGTAGTAAGTAGACTTATAAGTACCCTAAAAGTAATTGGGGTTATGGTACTTATAAGTCCCTAAAATAAGCAGTTGCTAAGTCCCCCGACTCTCCAAGTGGAGTCCAAACAAGGTTTGCAGGTTCAGCGTCCCCAATTTTTTATTAGGAGGCGTTTCTTGGGCCCTCTGAGGGATCCCCATGCTCAGCATGCAGCCAGACACAACAATCGGCCAAAATCGTCACCGCGGTTGCTATAGAAGCCTGAATGGTTAGCACGACTGTTTTGGGGATCCGTAATGAAAACTGTGGTATCATAGAACCCAACGGGTTCCCAAATGATGCTGTAGTATCAAATATGTATATGTGCATATATGCAAAGCACTGTTCTAAGTATCAAGGCCTTTATACTAGGTGCCCGGGTTTTGCAATCTTAGCTGCAGGGCTCTGGAATGGAGCTCGATGTCGATTCCAAGTCAACAAAGCTCAGCATCAAGACTATAGCATAAGATGGGTGCCTTGCTCATTACAATAGGGTTTTGGGCTATACGATGGCATGAGGAACTCGGAAGAATACCATTGGTATTGACTCTACGAGCCTGAGTAAACAGACTAGCTTGTTTAGAAGGGTGGTACTGTTGATGGTATAAATCCTGCATTAACCATAATAAGGAGTATACCATAATTCCCATAGTTTAGGGACCTTCAGGTAATGCAGCATTTATATCATCAACCGTATCTTACGGAATGTTATGCGTAGAACTTCAGGCTTCTATAGTACACGGATATAGCGAGAGACAGTTGCAAGGCAGCCTGTCTCGTTTGTGTGCTCTCACAGCAGCCCCGAGGTCACGATCTGTTCTAAAAGGAGAGCTTCTACGAGGGGAGGAAACTCGCGGTGAGACACGCTACAAGCAAGCCGGCAGAATCGGGCATCTTATCCATGCCCGTTTGTCCCAAATAAACCCTAAATCCCAAACTCTACACCATAACCCTAAGCTTTAAGCCCTAAGCAATAAACCCTAAACGCTAAGCCCCAAATCTCTTCGCCTGCGTATAGGCCTTCAGATTGGCACCGAGGCAAACCTGAGTTGCCCAGTTCATGAGTCGAAACTGGGTACTGTAGGGGCAATAAGAATTAGAACATAATTTCTTGGTGGTTCCTGATTATGTATGTATGTATGTATGTATGTATATCTATATATATATATACATATAGAGTGCTTATTCCCCCCAAACCCTATTTTTTTAAGGCCCCTACATTACAGCCCCTGAGTCGGAGCAGTATCCAAAGCCGAAGACTTCAAGCCGGATTAGGGTTTAGGGTTTAGGGTTGCAGGTTTAGGGTTTTGGGTTTAGGGTTGCAGGTTTAGGGTTAGGGTTTTTTTTTTTAAGCGCCTCTTTTCCGCCTGGCAGGTGCTTTAGGGTTGCAGGTTTAAGGTTTAGGGTTTAGGGTTGCAGATTTAGGGTTTAGGGTTTTGAGTTTAGGGTTGAAGGTTTAGGGTTTAGGATTAAGGGCTCACTCGGCTGGTTCACGAGAGGGGTTGGAACTGCGCTAGTTTTACCTGCAAGAATCTAGGTCTACATTAGAAGCTGCCCCCACCCTGTAATAGTGACTATAAGGATTATATTAGGGCCCGATCATATTCCTATGATACCACTATTACAGGGTGAGGGCCCCTTCTAAGGTCTACAAAAGTTTTGGAGACGATACTTTCATGAATTTTGAAGGCGAGGCAAAGAACGACTGCTACCCCTACCACTACGGTTGATGATATAAACCCTGCATTACCTTAAGGACCCTGAACTATGGGAATTACGAGTATGGTATATCTCTTATTATGAGTAATGCAGGATTTATACCATCAACCACCACTACCACTACAATCGTTACTGCCACTGCCACTGCCATTGCTCTATTACTCTGACCATCCACGAGCACCACTGACACTGCCTCTAGCGCTGGCGCCACTACAACCATGACCACGACGATGACTACGACTGCCACCACTAATGCTGCTACCAATACCTATACACCCCTTAGAGCCATAATAAAAATAGTATTTTTGATATTCTGTTAAGTTTGATTCGAACACAAATAGACATAACGCCTACGAGTACTATAGATACTGCGACCTGCCTTGTGGGAATTGCCATACTCGCAAACCAGATCAGGGTTCAATGGGGGTTAAAGTCTTTCTTTCGATGGCCCGTACACTAGACCCAAGAGTAACCTAGGAATAAGAAGGGTTCCCTTTTTGGTTTAAAGGGGCTTATAAGGGAACCTGAACCCTAAAAAGGGGAATAAGGGCCTACTCCAGGTCCTAGTGGTCCAGGGTTGCAAGAGAAGCAACAACCATACACTCCACAACCCCCGAACCTAAATCCTAAACCCCAAACTACACCCTAAACCCTGTAAACCCTAAACCCCTAAACCCCTAAACCCCTAAGCCCTAAACCCTTAAACCCTAACCCCTGAATCCGAAATGCTGGGCCTAAATCACCTCCGAAGGAGCATAAAGCCCGACGGTCGCAGGGAGCACCATGGCGGCAAAGATGAGCACATAAGGCACGAGTCCATGGTCTCCCTGCCTGGTCTTTTTTTGAATTTAGGGTCTAGGGTTTTAGGGTTTTAGGGTTTAGGGTTTAGGGTTTAGGGTTTTGAGCTTTGGGGTTTAGGGCTTTAGGGCTTAGGAAATTCATGCCTTACCTCGTGTTGTTGGTGTGGCTACTCCTCCTCCTCCTCCTCCTTCCCTCCTTCCCTCCTCCTCCTCCTCCTGGATCTACTTCTACTCCCACTTCTACTTCTACGTCTACGTCTACATCTGCGTCTGCGTCTACTTCTTCTACTGCTACTGCTACTGCTACTGATACTGCTACTCCTACAACTACTACTACCACTCCTCCTCCTACTGCTACTACTACCACCACTGGTACTGGTACTGCTACTATTGCTGGTTACTGGTACTGGTGCTTGTAATGGTACTGGTACTGGTAGTGGTACATGTACCAGTACCGGTACCAGTACTAGTACTCGTACACCTACCCGTAGTCGTACTGGCACACGTACTATTACTCGTACTGTTACTCGTAGTACTAGCGAATCCCTATGCTGCACATGCGACATGTATGACTGCATATGCATGCCAACGACATTGCACTCACACGTACCATGCCTCGGCTACCGGGATTCACATCTTCACGGCCCCAAACTGAGGATTCGGCTTATCAAAACCTGGACCACAAACTACAGTAAGTTCAATAAGAGTTACAATGCAGTTTAAGGAATAGGGTTGGGGGGCAAGTGACGCAAAGACCATTAAGTTTGATTGGGGGATGAAGCTTTGATTTGCAAAGCCGGACCCGAACATACCCATGCTACGCAGTGCGTAGGCCCATGCAACGACCCCTTGCGTGCCTACCGAAGAAATTGCACTTAGAACGAAATCAACAGCTGCACCAGAATCTGCTTTAGCATAGCCCGCACACTCCTACATATATGCGACGATGATTACGCTTCTTGCAGCTTGTTCCAGTCTTCGTGTACCTACTACTGCAGATCAGGCTTGTAAAGATCGCGATTGAGCACAGCTTTCGTTTCTGCGTTCAATAGCCAAGCGGCAACTCCAGAAGGCCGTCGAGCAAGAAGCACAGATGCTCAAGCTGCTGTGCTGCAACAACCACCATGACGCTGGCCAGCAGTGGCGGTAGATTGATGAGATATTCAGCCGGAGCCCAGCTCCTTCTGTGCCGGAGTCTGTAGCACAACCTTGTGCCAACCAGTAGGGCCATAGGCGCAACCCCCAACCACCATGCCAGACCCCTGATCAGCTCTCGGGTGGCCTGGATCTTCGGGTCCCAAATGGTGAACCTGGACCAAGCAGCAGCTTTGCTTACGAAGTGCCATAAGACCGGGACCATCGCTGAAATGGCCTGACGGGGTCGAAGAACCCCGCAAACTCAGAGCCCCAAACCCCAAAACCCTGAAACACCGAAAGTTAAATAAAAAGTCTAAGACCACCGAAATCCTCAAACCCCAACCCAAATCGCACTGCCTGACGGTACGTGAAGAACTGCTTTGCATGCTCTCGGAGGAGTAGCTCGCGAACACCCGTCCGCACATATTCCTCAAAGAGCTCTTGGGTTCCGAACCAAGCAGTGATACCTTGGTTGTATTCGTAGTGTTTTGTATAAGGCATAAGAGCTTCTTGTAGAAGGACTTTATATAGCCCAGAGGGTCCATATACACCACCACTATGGAATTAGGTCCCCAAAACCATAATAGGGATGGTCTTCTAGGACCTCATTCCATAATGGCAGTGTGGATGGACTCTCTGGGTAGGATACCAGACCAGGAATATTCTACTAAGGGTTCCACATGGGTTTTGTACCAGCTCATAGGATTATTCGAAAGAGCGTTCTTTGGGTCTTCATCTGGGTTCTGTGAAGAGGTCTAGCTGAAGTTACCATAGTAAGGACATAATATGACGAACTATGCAGAGATGCACATAAAAAATAGATACGGGTTAAAACAGACTTTTGGTTGGTAGCTTCAGTTAAGTGCCTGAACAAGAACTCAACTGACTTCTGTACCCCTCCTACAAGTTAAACTTTTAGCCTACTGATTATTCATACAGAAACTCAACAAGCTTTAAGGTTCTAAGAGCCAGCCAAAAAAGACACCAAGAAGAGCCCAGATACACTTGTTCGTAACTCGCCTGTCGCAAAGCCCACGGCTCCTTGTATGGTTATCCTCGCAGCAAAAGCAGCTGACATTGTCAAGTGAGAATCCTGCCAGTTTCAAGGTTCAGGGTTTAAGGGCTTAGGGGTTTAGGGTTTAAGGGTTTAAGGGCTTAGGGGTTTAGGGTTTAAGGGCTTAGGGTTTAGGGTTTAAGGGCTTAGGGTTTAGGGTTTAGGGGCTTAGGGTTTAGGGTTTAGGGGTTTAGGGGTTAAGGGTTTAGGGTTTAGGGTTTAAGGGCTTAGGGCTTAGGGTTTAAGGGCTTAGGGTTTAGGGTTTTTAGGGTTTAAGGGTTTAGGGTTTAGGGTTTAAGGGTTTAGGGGTTTAGGGTTTAAGGGGTTAGGGTTTAGGGTTTAAGGGTTTAGGGTTTAGGGTTTAGGAGTTTAAGGGTTTAGGGTTTAAGGGCTTAGGGTTTAGGGTTTAAGGGCTTAGGGTTTAGGAGTTTAGGGTTTAGGGTTTAGGAGTTTAAGGGTTCGGGGGGAATCCTGCCAGCTTGTCTCCATCCGCTTCCATGGAGCGAAAGCAGTGTCGGTATATCGCAATGTTGGCATAGAAACCTGCACAGAAAACCAAGGCGTTCAGTGCTTGAAAAGTCCAGAGGACACCCTCGTCGTCTCCAGTCAGCGGAAGGAAATCACTGGCGATCGTCACAAACAAGACCGTGAGTGCTTGAGAGAAGTAGCCTTAGAGGTTGAGTATGTCAGCCCAAAAAGGTTAGCCGTTTCAATTACGGTGGGGCTATATAAACACCAAAAGGGGTAGAGGTTACCCCTAAACCTTTGCTGTACCCTTATAGACCCCTTAAAGGAACACCTTTATGTAAACCCCCGAAAAGTTAAAGGTTACCATCTCAGCTTCTAAGCCCTAAACCCTAAACCCCTGAACCCTAAACCCCTAAACCCTAAACCCGAAACTCAGCTTCTAAGTGGGTGGTTGTCAAAGTTAGGGTCCCTTTTTGGGTCCCCATTATAGTACGGCACCCATTATTTAGTGTACCCCACAAAGGGACTATAATTCTGACGACCACCCAAGCAGATAGACCCTAAACCCTACTCCCAAGTAGCAGATAGACAGGTCTGTAGGCCGAATCAGGAGTCGTGGCTCCCCACCCGGAGAGCGGCTTCTGGCAAAACCCGCGATCTCGAACATGCACCAAAGCCCTCGTTTTCTTAAAGGGATCTATAGGGTTCCTTCAAAGGGATCTACAATGGAATCTCAAAATTTAGGGTTTATGAATACTTAAAGGATCATGGGACTTAGTACCTAGGGTTCTAAGTAAGGTAACTGTACTTATGCTTACTTAAAACCCCAATTATGGTACCTCTAACCTTGCTTACGAAGTCCCATGATCCTGCCAGTGAGGTTGAGAGACTGTCAACGGCGAGCACTCCTCTGTCTTAGGCTTCTGAGCCTGGACATGTAACTCTATACCTATACCCGCAACCACTACGAACATGCATGCTAACATAATATGCCCTAAACCCTAATTTTAAACCAGGCTCGATCGCAGTACGTACCGTCCCAAAGAACCAGCATGGTGTCGGAGTTCTTCAGAAAAGCACCTAGGTCACCAGCGAGCCCCAACGTGCCTTTCAACTCAGGGGTATTGAATTATAAAGGGCTTTTAGATAGTCATTGCAGCTTGTGGTCCCAGTTTGGGGATCTTTATAGAAGAGTCTTGCTATTTCAGAAGAGCGCCGATGCTCAAAAGCCCATCGGCTTTCCGTGGCTGGAACTCTTGATCTATGCCTGGACTTTGAAGTAAGCATGGGAGGAAGAAGTATAGACCTTTATTTCATGCTGGTTCCTTTTAGGAACATAGGAGGAAAATGTATAGACCTTTCTTTCATAGTAGCTCCTTTTAGGAACATGTACCCAAAACGGTCTTAAGTCTTACACCAGAATTTAAGCTGCCCTTTAAAAAGAAGCCATATTACTAACTATAAATCCCTACCCGATTATGGACTCCGTAACAAGAACCCGGGATGCATATCACGTCGAGGAAGACGTCGGCCGAAGATCTCCAAAACAAGAGCACGATGCAGTAGGAAACCAAAGCCACCAGATTCGTCCAGATACATTGAAAGTTAGAGTCACTTTCTTTTGGCCGAGTGAGAGCAGGCAAGATCTCAAAACTAAAAAGCACGGAGGCCGAAACAGCCGCGATGCTGGCGATTAAAAGTGCAGGGGTTCCTCAGCTGTGGCGAGTATGACCGAATGTGGTTCGTTCATTTCCGGTTTCATTGGCTTAACAACAGCCCCACAGAGCTAAGAATCCACAAACTCAACTAAGCCCAAACCCTAAACTCACATGAAGGCTCCATGGTAGAAGAGTAGGAGGGTGACATACTTCTTCCATGCCCCACCATGCCAGCTGTGGCTCCAGAAGGTGCGGATCGCCGTGGTGGGATAGCCTTTCGCGATAGCCCAGCAAAGCAGAAATACCTAAAACTCTTAACCCTAAACCCTAAAGCCTAACCCCTAAACCCTAAACCCTAAACTCTTAACCCTAAACCCCAAACCCTGGAACCCGAGACCCTCAACCACAAACCACTAAACTCCTAACTCCCAAACCCTAAACCCTAAAACCCGAGACCCTCAAGCCTAAACCGGTAAGCTCCTAAACGCCAAACCCTCACACGCCGCCCCATCCCAAAGCCCTCCCCGAAGCCCTGAACCACGAGACCGAAGAGTAGCCTCATTAGGAATAAAAAAGGTGCACTTTTTGGTTTAACGGGGGCTTATAAGGGAACCTGAAACCTAAAGAAGGGCATAAGGGCCTGCTCTAGGTCCTAGACCAAGTAGCTCAACATGTAACGGCTGCCGCAATGCGTACGAAGAATGGCTCCAAAATTCTCCAGGGCATCAACCACCTGTCTTGTGTGCATGGGATGAAGGTTCTCTGCCTAGAGTTGCTGGATTAGGTTTTCTCATGTGTTGAACGTAGGACTTGCCGCCAAGGCTCAAGGGCTTGAATGCATATTTTACTGAGTCTATAAAGGTGTGGGATTTTGAACAAAGGGGGGCCAGGATATACGTGGCCATCACTGGTGGTGTTACTTAAAACCGTTTTGATTAGTATCCTGCATGGCCAAAACTTGCAGGCAAAGCCTATACTATCCTACAGTCATAACTCACACTGGAACTGTTGTCCGGGTTGTCCGGGAACTTGCGCACTACTTAGAGATTCAGCAGACTTAGTAAGTAGCTATGTGTGGTCGCCTTACGTGAAACCTCACTTACTAAGTCCCCTGATCGTTTACTGGGTTGGCCCTTTATAGTCTCTGAAAAATGTTCGTAAATAGGGTCCCAAGAAACCCAAAAGGGGAAATATAAAAGCTCCCAAAAGCCTACCCAGTTTAAGTAAGACTTATAACCCTAAACCCTAAACCCTAAACCGCTTACTAAGTACCCTCAACCCTAAACCCTAAACCCGAAACCCTAAACCCTAGTTTAAGCAAGACACACGCACAGCTCGGAGCACGTCCGTGGAGACGGGTTCCATGGTGATCACGGTATCAGCAATTAGCTCTGCCAGAGAGGAGACCTTGGTTCGAGGGCTGATGATAGAAATCCGAGGGTTCTTTGAAAGGGATCTATAAATGTTCCTTTAAGGGATTCCTTTAAGGGATCTATAGGGTTTTAGGGTTTAGGGTTTAGGTTGATGATAGAAATCCTGCGTTACCTTAAGGACCGTAAACTATGGGAATTATGGTATATTCCTTATTATCATGGGTGACATCAACCGTAGGCAGGATAGAACGTTTCCTATTGTGCCGCCTATGGATAAACCCTATAAACCCCAACCCCACTCCAACCCCCAAAATAGACCGCAAGCCCTAAACCCGAAACTCCTGAAACAACTTAAACCGACAGGCACTCTAAACACCCTCAACCCTCAATCCTAAAACTTTAGCCAAGAGGCATCCTTGGGAGCAGTCTCCTGTGGTGCGGCTGGGATGATCTGCGCCGGCAGTGCAACCATGGCGTAAAGCGGACTAAGGGTCTGACTCCCTACAGAGTGTTTGGGCTTGGGTTTCTCCAAGGGTTTAGGGAATAGGGTTTCGGGTTTAGGGATTCAACGTCTTTTTTTGAGGGATACAGAGCGTTTAGGTTTCTTCAAGGGTTTAGGGAATAGGGTTTCGGGTTTTGAGAATTTAAGGTCTAGGATGCAGGGTTTACTTGGAAATGCGTGCCTTTAACGGTTCTGAAAAGCTTCTACAATCAGGGCTTTCGGGTTCTGGGCTTGGGGGATTAAAAATCGGATAGTGTTTGGGGGCGAAAACTTGTTGCCTTTGCTACTAAGGAGCCCGAAGGAATAATGCAGTTAAGTATTCAGGCTTCTATGTTCGGTGCTGGGGGCAACAGAGTAGATAGAGGTCCCCGCCCCACCACTAATCAGACCACGAGATTGCTCGAGCCTTGTGCCGGATCCGCCAGCCTGAATGCCAGGATCCTAAATCCTAAACACTTCGTGAATTACGGTTGCTTGCGGGTTGTTGATTTGAGCGTGATTAAGCGTGCAAACCCAGAGGCAGTCACTGCGCCCTATGTAAGCCCCTACAACATCATCAGCACCAGCTGCTATAGGACTAGGACACATCTGGAAGGCTTTACGAGGATTCTAGGTTCTTCTGTTTCGGGGTGTTGGGTTTCGCTTCAATGCAGGCATCTCGCTGGCGACTTATCTTTTCTGCTGCCGGGTCTAAGCCTAAACCCCTAAACCCTAAACCTCGAGTTTGGACGCTCCTTTTTTCTGCTCGCAGAACCATCAAAAACGCCGGCCTGGACATGCTGCAGCTCTTGAGATGGAAAAATCAGAGCGGCTGCAAGGTCACCTTACGTCGGCGAACCGGGCCAGGCAATGTTTCCGCAGTTTCGGCAAAACAGGGACATGTGCACTGCCGCTGTGAAACGGATCTTGCATGTTGGTCTGCAACGGCATCGGCGGAAACTAAACCCCTACTCCTACAGAAGCTGGAATGGTTTGAGGCGCAAGGGTTTGGATCTCTTCTCTTCGTCGTTTCAGCCGCAGACGCAACTCACGCGGTCCCCTTCATCACCACCTGATGCAAGTAGGGCCTAGGATTTGTGGTCAAGGGTATAAATTTAGGGGTTAGGCTTTAGGTTTTTGGTTTACGGCTTTAGAGCTTAAGATCTACAAGGGCTTATGGGCTTGGGGGGTATACTGGGCTTCTCGGTAACCCGGGAGAAAAAAGTGTAGACTTCTATTTCACAGTCGTTCCTTCAAGAAAGAAAGTATTAAAGTACAGTACTCCAAAGCCCAGTATACCTAAACCCTAAACCCTATAACCCCAAAACTATTAGGATCCAATATAAAGTATTACGTAGGACCTACAAAAGTTCAGGGGTTTGGGGGTCATAGGCTCTATAGGAGTCAGAGGTTCGAGGCATGCGGGTGGGGTGCGCTAGTCTGTTGACCAGGGATCTATAAAGGCTCCTTTAAGGGATTCCTTTAAGGGATCTATAGGGTTTTAGGGTTTAGGGTTTAGGTTGATGATAGAAATCCTGCATTACCTTAAGGGCCCTAAACTATGGGAATTACGGTATATTCCTTATTATGGGTAATGCAGGATTTTTATCATCAACCGTATGACGGCTAGCCCAAGCTTCATGTTGCTCCTGTACTCACCATCCGTACTGCCGCTCTACGACGACCACTATGGTGAGTTGATTTCGGGTGAAGATTTCTATAGACACGGCTAATTTAGTAACTCCTGGTTACTAAATCCCTGTCCTCATATGCCTTCATATTCCGATCCCTGGTAAAGCCCTTTTAGAAGGTAGGCGTTTTGGTAACTACTACAGCCCCAACTTCCCTTCGAATCTTGGTCTTGGGGGTTTGGGGCTTAGCACTTGAAGTAGAGCTACAGCCCAAATCCTGCTTCCAATTTCTTGCTTGGGCTTCAATGCAGCTGCTTGGAGGCCCAAAATTGCCGAAACCCTCTCACCCTTCAACCCTGAACCAGATTCCCGAGTCCCATATCGGATAGATTGAATCGTAGAACCATACTCCTCTAGAAATTAAGGCAAAGTCCCAAGGGTTCCTGTAGGACTGTAGGGGCTTCTGTCAGGGGTTCCGTTAAGGCTTCCTTTGGGGCCTTTGGAGCTCTCTGAGAGCCCTAGACCCTAAACCCTAAAGCCCTAAACCCTAAACCCTCAACCCTAAAACCCCAAACCCTAAAACCCTAAAACCCTAAAACCGTAAACCCTAAACCGCTAAACCCTGAACCCTAAAACCCCAAACCCTAAAACCTAAACCCCTTTGGGGGGCCCCTCTGAGAGCAAGACCTCAGAGCAGCTCGGGCTTGTTGAAGTAGACCCAGAAGAGCACAGCAGGGCCCAGGCCTCGTCTGGGGTTCAGGGGTCTAGGGCTTAAGGGTTAGAGTTTAGGGGTTTAGGGTTTCGGGTTTAAGGGTATAGGGTTTAGGGGTTGGGGTTTAGGGGTTTAGGGTTTAAGGGTATAGGGTTTAGGGTGCATGGGTTTGGGGTTTAGGGTTTAGGGGGTTTAGGGCTTAGGGTTTATAGGGGGTTAGGGCCTCTTCTACTTAAAGGATCATGGGACTCAGTATGCAAGTTTATAAATACCTTGATCGGGGTTATAAGCACTTGTAGACTTAAATGTGATTACCATATGCATAGCCCCAGTTACTAAGCCCCATGATCCTTTAAGTAGACCCTATAGATCCCCTATAGAACCCCTATAGATCCCTTTTAAGGAGCCCCTTTAAGGAACCCTAGTGACTAAGCCCCATGATCCTTTAAGTGGGGTTCAAGAAGGTTGAGGATCTCGGATGTCGGGAGGCTTCTGAGCATGAGGATGGCTTGTGGGTTCAAACTTCAAGAGGGTTTAGGGTTTAGGGTTTAGGGTTTAGGGTTTAGGGTTTAGGGTTTAGGGTTTAGGGTTTAGGGTTTAGGGTTTAGGGTTTAGGGTAAGGCAAATCCTAAACCCTATAACCCTATAGATCCCTGTAAAGGAACCCTCGAACCCTACTTATATCTACCCCTGAACCTCCAAGTTTAGAAACACAAAAGACTGCCTCTGTCAAAGGGGAAAAGGAGGGACCCTTAATGGGGACCCCTACCCTATAAAGGGGCTATATAATGGCGAAAAGAAAAAATATACGAAGGGCATATGCCTAGGGGTCCCCATTAAGGGTCCCTCCTTTTACCTTTACCCTTGGAGGCTTGAGGGATCAAGACCTAAAGGTTCTAGGGCCTACTTGTCGGGTATCATGGGGAACTAAAGGTTAACCTCTTTGATTATACAGGGGTTATATAGACCCCCAAAAAGGCTAAAGGTTACCTACTTGTACTTTGAGGGTTTAGGTTTCAAAACTGAGGGTTTAGGGCGCCAAAGCTTGTGGATTCGGGAGCTGGGCACGCTTGCAGGATCAGTATGTAGGTGAAAAAGGGAGGACATTGCTAGATGACGTCAATCACTGTACTTCTGCAGCCTTTCCTGAAGTCCTGAGCCCAAGGGCTGATGATGAAGACCGCCCAGCCCAGCTGCAGCAGCGCGTAACCTGGAAATCGGTCACTGCCCATGTCGTCATAAGGGTTTAGAGCTTAGGATTTAGGATACGGTACCCAGCTGTGGTTGGGATTGGGTAAAACTGTACCCACATTCAGGACTCGACAGACGTATTGATGCCACTGTTGCGATTCGGAATACGGTTTTTCCAGCTGCTGCTGCGATTAAGAAACTGGCAAGTTTGCGCTGCTCTTCAAAGAACTATCAATACACACTGCGATCACTACGATTCGGGATATAACGAAGCTTCCCTCCGGGTGTTTCAGTGCTATAGCATCTGTCGCAGCTTGTTGTGGCTGCTTACTGCGGACTTTACCATGACGAAGGGGGGCATTGACGACTACTTCTACTACCTTTACTAATTTAGCGCCTCCCACGACTTCTAGTACGTCTACTTCTATATACTTCTACTGGTGCTCCTAAGAAGCTAAGACGACGACTACGACTACGATTACGATGACTACGACGACTACTACGACTAAAGTACTGCGACTGCTACGACTGCTACGACTGGTACGACTGCGACGACTGCGACGGCAACGCCGACTGCGCCACGACAATGACGCCACGACAATGACTACGACTACGATTGCAACTACGACGACCGCTACGACTACGACAACGACGACGGTCACGACGACGGCGACCACAACGAGGACTACCACCACCACCACCACCACTACACACTACCGCTTCTATGTCTTCTACGTATGCTACCCGAAATTGGGAAGGGACGTCTGTAGTAGAAGGTCCATTCATACTGCCCAAAGATGCTTGACGTGTTTGGAACATTGTCTGGTGACAGAAACGTGAACAGTTTCCCTAGCTGCACACCCTGAAACACTTAGCTCTGAAATCCGAAACTAAAAGAAACAAAAAGGACCTAAGCACCAGAACTACCGAAGGACCCCGAACCCTTAAACTCCAAAGCTCTAACTCTAAACCCGAATCCGAAACCCCTCAAACCCTAAAGCCCTAAAGCCTAAAGACCTAAAGCCTAAACCCTTATAGATCCCTTAAAAATCCCCTTTACAACCCTTTTTATAGCTCTTTAAAGTCAAACCTGAACCCTGAACCTAAACCCTAAACCCCTGAACCCTAGAGCCTAAAAACTAAACCCTAAAGCCGTAAAACCCTAAAGCCCTAAGCTCACGTTTCAGAGACTGACGAGGCCCTCGCCCGAGTTGCCGGCATGCGCAACCTGCTTCCAAAAGTGCTATGGGGTTTAGAGCCTAGGGGTTTAGGGTTCCTTTAAGGCCATCTCTAGGGCCTTCTTAAACGGGATCTAGAGGGCTCAGGGTTTAAGGGTTCGGCGTTTGGGGTTTAGGGGATTTTAGCAGTTTGGCGTTTAGTTCCGGGGTTGTGAAGTTCAGGGCCAACAGATTGGTATTTTCGGGGGTTGAAGGCCGTTTCTATTGGGCTCAGAGTGG